ATACGACTCGTGATTTAGTGATATTTGATATTAGATATTTTTTAAAGAAAAAAGTGTGGATAAAATATTGAAGTTGTTAGAAGAATATCATTTTCCTGGGGTGGGTACATAGCATGCATCATGTAAAGCGTGAAGTTATATAAATTGAAATTTGTAGATAATATAATGGGTACATGCATGTCCCAATTTTGAACGACTTTGTTCATACCCACTAATTCATAATGAAAAGCATGCCTTTGATTATTTTATTAAACAAATGCGCACATTGATGGACTTCTATCTTAATGGTGATTTCCCACTTAGCCCCAAAAGTAGAACACGACAAGAAAGAAAGCCCTAAGATTCCGAATTGCAAGGGGTTAGGGGTGTGAATTAATTTAAGGGAGAATGGAATAAATTTATAATAGTTAGGTCCTCAAAAATTTTATAAAAAATTAATTATAAATATTAATTTAAATAATTATAAATTTAAAAATTATAATTATAAATAAGATATTTAAATTTCAAACATAACTCTCAGTTTACAATTGAGATTTTTTATTTATAACTGTTTAAATTAATATTTATAATTTTTTTTTAAAATATTATTGGGGACTTGTAGCTGTCATAAATTTTCTGTCATGGGACTTTATTGTTATTTTATTTTAATTTAATATTATCAAATGAGAATGGGTAAAGTCTAGGTTTTGCCACACTTATTTTGTTAATTCATGCAATACACTAAATTCACTCGCAAATTCAAATATTATAAATATTAAAATAATGTATTCATATATTACTTGATGTTTTAATTTGAGATCAAGTTGAGGTACAATTCAAGATTATTACATTTTAGATGGCGAAAATATACTTTTCAACCATGTTTTCAACCATGTAATTATACATATTCAGTTGTAATTTAATCCTACAGTTCCATTTGATTTTTTTTTTTAGTTCTACTTCCTCCATTCAAAAAATATAAGACATTTTTTGAGGAGTTTGATGTTAAAAAATATAAGATATTTTTAGTCTTCTGAGATGTAATAATTTTTTCAAAAGTACTTCTATTAATAATAATTTTATATTTATTGTAGGATGTTTAATAGGGATAAATAAAAAAAATAGAATTAGCTTAATTCGATTAAAAATATCTTACATTTTTTTAACAAGGAGAGTATAATTTCACAAATTTATAAAAGAATTACTGTTTATAACACATTACAAACTCAACAAAAACTGCTTACATGGAATTAAATTGATTCATTCATAATCATAGTTGGTAAAAAGATGTGATCAGCTGTCAAATTTGTGTTGAAAAATTTGCAAAGCTCCAAGAGTCTAAAGGTGTTCATGGACTGATGTCTGACCTATAATACTCTTTAAGTGAATTGTTCAACCCGTGAGCGCTGGTCTAGCTTGAAATTAGAGATGGATCCGTAATTAAAGGTGTTCATATTATTATTATCATTTTTAATTAGACATGTAAGCACTAATGACTTGATGTTATAAGTAGAATTGAACCCGTAATTTTTTATTTATAGAAGAGCTTACAAGCCATTAAATTATAAGGCCATTGACAACTTGTTTGTTATTAACGTAACTAATACCTCGTACAAGAATTTAGTAATAGGAGAAGTTCTCAAAAATAAATATGAGAGAAGAAATTAAAATCAAAACAAATTTCCCAAATTTTACAATTAACACCAGAGGCTTGTGGGACCGAGGGAGCATGTTTTAATTCTTAAAGTAATTGGCAATTTGGCATTGTGACAGGTAAAGAAAAAAGTAGTGCAAGGCAAACTATGGAAGAAGAGGCCAGTTTCAAAAGGGTCCTCTCAATGATGAGAAGAAAGTGAAAGCTTGACTACTATTCCTACTTCCCAGGACTCTCTTCCAAACAACAGAACACGAGAAGAAGGAGGAGGCTTGAGAGATAAAAAATGAAAGCATGTGATTCAAGAGAAGAGAAAGACCCACAGCCACAGGGGCAGAAAGAGCAGTGCAATAATTGAATCTCGTTTTTCTTGGTTATCATTTCTGGTTATTATAGAATGGTACTTACAGACACAACATGCTCTCTCTCTCTCTCTCTCTATCCCTGTGCACCTATTTGAGTAATTTAGGGTTTAATTTAGCCCCAACTGTGATGCTGCTTATCATTCATGCCATGGGGTCCCACCGAACCTTCTAATTTCTTCAACATCTTGATTCATCTGTGCTGGTCAAGAGCCATGGCTCAAGATTTCACCATTTAAAAGCGATAAAGCTATTCATTCTCAAGTCAAAAGGCCATGCATATATCTCACTTGTTTTAAGTAGGGTTACACAAAAGATTGACTCGATAAAATTTTGATCTAATCCAAATTTTGCAAGTCATAATGTAATCTAATTCTAATATAATCTGAAGCCGAACAGGACCAGATTGGTCCAATAAGATTAGGAGACCAATCCTCATGTAGTCCACTATCTCACTTAGTTTATTTTATTTTTTTTATCTATAAAGGGTAATAGTTTATTTCAACATAATAAATTCAATTAATGTAATAAAATTACTTATAGTCATATAAAATTTATCACAACAACAACAATTATAAATCAACAATAATCTTCAACAATAACAAAAAGTATTTTAGTTACAACACAAATGATTCAAATTAAACAACTTTCAATAATCTTCAACATATCTAAAGTCTATTACACCAAATTAATAATAAATTTTACCAATAAAAGGAAAAGATCGAGGTTGATCAATGTTAAAGTTTTGCTTAATATTCAAGACTTCACAAGTATAAAACACAAAAAAACACTAATTATTATAAGTTAACTTATTGTAATAATAATTAATCATAATTATATTAAATAAATTTATAGGACTAGATATAATCAAGTGATCTAGATGCTTGGTTTATTGTTAAATTTAACTCAAATAAAGAATCTAGTCTTTTTGGTCCTTTTCGTCTTAAAAGATCAATTTTTATCTAAATTAGACAAGACTAGATTTGTCTTAGGTTGGATAAGATTGGACTGAATTGTAAGACTTTTACATAGCCCTGGTTTTAAGTATAATTTCTTCCCAGGATGACATACTTTAATAATGTGCTTGTTTATAACTAATATTGGTTTGCGAAATACATAAAATTTCAGCGACTTAATAACCTTTCCATGGGAAAGGCCTGAGGATTCCTAGTTCAGAGATACCCAGCTATGAGTTATGGCGCATATGTATGTACGTATGCATTCATTTGACAAAGAAAGTTTAAATAAATTGAATTTGGAAGCTTATTAGGGTTAAGCTATACCTTTAAACTCAAAAAACGCTTATAAAAATATTTATAAATCATTCATTAATACGATTTTCATATTCATTGTGGAACTTGATCCCACAATTTTATAAATTATGGGCCAAATTTCTATCAACTAAACCAATATTTGTTGGAAGTTATAGCATATTTTCTTCCAGCACACAGTTTCTACAATTTGGATCAACGATTTATTGCACGTCTTTAGGCCCAACAACTAAGATCGGGCTTGGAAAGGGTCCATACCTTTTTTTGGGTCACATGTTCAGTTGTCTTTTTTATTATTACGACTACGCTTTGCTGAGCCCTCCATAGCAGTTGTCTGCTCCCGAATCCCTCTATATGTGCTTCCAAGTTCCGAAGTCCAAACATTGTTTTAATCATTTTCTGAATTGTTTTATTTGAATAAATACTACATTATATATGTATATATAGCGAACAAATAGTATTTTCCGAACACTCGTCAAGTGTAGTTAAGTCTGCTTGGGATAAAATAAAAATATGAACACTTTTAAAAAAATTTCACAAAATTAATTTTATGTGAGTTTAAATAATTTTAAAATTTCAATTCAGTTCAGAAAAAAAATTAAAAGAATTTTGACAGTAAAAATATCAAAATACCTTTAACTTATTATACATAATCACTAATTATTAATTTTTTATTTTTCTTATTAATTTATGAACATGAGTTGTAAATTATATGAGTTGACATATCAATAATTATATAAAACTTGATATTAATTTTTCAATCATGAAAAGCAATATTAATTGTTAAATTACTAACTTTACTTATTAATTTAATAATATCAATTATAAATTACTAACAGTTCTTATAATTTATAATTAATATTAGTAAATTAATAACTAATATTATTGATTGTTTGACAAATGAATGTAATCTATAAATGATATTAATAAATTAATAAATGCAGTAATAAAATTAATAGCTAGTATTTTTATATAACAAGTTAAAAATATTAAAATATTTTTATTATGAAAATTCTTTTGCCTTTTTTTTGCATTGAATTGAAATTTTAAATTTTTTTAAGCTCACATAAAATTAATTTTTTATAATGATCGTTAACTAAAATTCTCCCAAATTTTTTTCATAAACACGGCAAGTTCTTTCTTTTTTAAAAATAACTACATCATCACCCATTGAACGTAACAAGAATACTTTCTCCAATTTTTTTCCCTCTCCCCAAAAATTTTCTTTCCAGCAAAATGGCAGAGAGAAAACGGAATCTCAGCAAGCACTATTATTATTATTATTATTATTATTTGAATTACCTCGTCCTTTTCTTCACCCTTCTCTCCTCTTAATGTGTATTGGAACACGTGCCATGTGGGAGGACGTAAACCACAACACCAACATGACACGCGGTTGAGTCGGCTTGCATTATTCAAACGTGTGCAACACCAGAAGCATATTCAATGTATATTCTCAAAAATTCTCAAGGCACTTATTTTCTTTAAATATTTTTCTAGACTTCTAAACATTTAAATACTCATTTGTAAAATATATTGCGGTTGTAATATACATATCTACATATTATATACAATTCATAAATATTTAGCAATATTGAATAAAATATGGACAACTAATTATTTTTAAATTTTGTTCTTTTATAGTTTTCTATCAGTATATTAGTGTCCTGTCATTTCAAATTGTATGGAAGTAAATAACAGCTCGATATATGTCGTCCCCATGAGAATAAAGTCCACTGTATGCAACTAATGCGTGTCAAAATCAGAGCCAATGTTCTCAAATATCCTCTTCCGGCCATCCCCACCCGAGAAGTGGTGAGCAAGTTCACAAGTCTTGCGGAACTCAACCCCATGAACGCCAGAGCTCTGCTTTCCCCTTATCCTCCCGCTCCCAAAGCTCCTTTCTCCGCTCTCTCCATTTCCAGAAGACCCTTTCTCTCCGATGTGAAGCACATAACCGCCCATCCCTCTTTGCTTCGGCTGCGCTTACCTTCGCACGCACCTCACTTTCGTGTTGCCGTCCGGAATTCTGGCGAGAGAGGAGCTGGGAAAGTGTGGGAAGATCTCAAATCCGAGTCATATGATGTCTCCGAGTCCGTACCAGAACCGGTGAAGTTCGGGGATGTGGTAGGCAACGTTGTCGGTGAGAAGGTGGAAGTAGGTAGTGTGCGCCCATGGTGGGAAGAATTCCCCAAGAGATGGGTCATTGTGCTTCTGTGCTTTTCTGCGTTCATTCTCTGCAATATGGACAGAGTAAGCTTCCTCACTTGTTTGCGGCGTATGTGATAGTATTAAATGGTTTGGTTGTCTGTTGTTTTTGCAATTAAGAAATGTTGCAATTATCGCTGTATATAGCTGCTAAAGTTCAAGATGATGGTTTGGGTTTTGAAGGATGGAAACCTAAGTTTCTATTTCTGTCATGGCATCAAAAGTTAAAGCGAATGCTTAGGTGCGAAAACTTGATTTCAGTTGCTGATACCTATGGAAAATATGAAAAAAAAAATGCCATGGTTTAATCCTGTAGTCGCATAAAGTAATGTTATCCCTACCTTGAATGCCATTGGAAGGCCTCAATTTTTCAATTTGCTCATACTCTTGAAAAATCCATTTGTCCACATTGCCAGGTAAATATGAGCATTGCCATACTTCCAATGTCAGCAGAGTACAACTGGAACCCCGCCACTGTTGGTCTAATACAGTCTTCTTTTTTCTGGGGATACATGCTCACTCAGGTAAAAGTTATTATTGATAAAATTAAGATTAATTACCAATTCTTCTTACTCGTGTGTTTACGAATATGAACTTGAAGTTTATGACTCTGAATCCTAGACATTGGTTGCAGATTGCTGGTGGAATATGGGCAGACACGGTGGGGGGAAAACCGGTATTGGGATTTGGTGTGGTTTGGTGGTCCATTGCCACTGCCCTCACTCCTCTTGCTGCGAAACTCGGGTTGCCCTTTCTACTCATTGTTCGGGCTTTCATGGGTATCGGTGAGGTGTGTATTGTTAATGAGGTTGTAAAGAGTTTGCTCTGCATTCTACTTGTCGGAAAAGCTTCGAAAAGGAAAGTTCTATCAAATAGTTTCTCAAATAAATAAGAAATAAATTTTTCATCATCGTAATATATGATGTCCACGGTTCTAGTAGTGATTTGATCATGCGCATGGAGCTCATGTCATTTGGCTTGTTTCAGGGTGTAGCTATGCCAGCCATGAATAATATCATGTCAAAGTGGATTCCCGTTGCAGAGAGAAGTAGATCATTATCACTGGTTTACAGTGGCATGTACCTTGGATCAGTCACAGGACTAGCATTTTCACCCATACTAATTCATCAGTTTGGATGGCCATCGGTATTTTACTCCTTTGGCTCATTAGGTGCAATCTGGTTTTCTGCTTGGCTTAGTAAGGTTAGATTTGCCTGGGCTAAATTATTTATTTTTCACTGGTTTGTCCTTTTTGAATTTGAAACTCTCCTTTAACAGCTGCTCTTAGGAATTATTTGATCAATAAAATGTTTCTTCCTCGCTGCTATCTATCTACTATATTTGTTTATTTGCTTTTGAATTTCTGAGAAGGTTGCCCAATCCTAGTAACTTCTTTTACAAGCACATGTGCTTATCTTTTTTGTTCACCTGGGTGCTGCTGCTGTAGGCACACAGTTCACCTCTTGATGATCCTGAACTTCGCGCGGAAGAAAAGAAGTTAATTATCACAAACAGCTTTTCCAAGGAACCTGTGAAAACTATACCTTGGAGATTAATTTTGTCAAAAGGTCCTGTTTGGGCTCTAATAGTGTCTCATTTCTGTCACAACTGGGGAACATTTATTCTTCTTACTTGGATGCCAACATACTATAACCAAGTAAGTCTTTCTGTCAGTCTAGCATTCATCACTGTGGTCTTGCCAAACCTCAATTCTCTGCCCTTTAATTATTGAAGGTTATGGATTTTAGCTGACTATCATAATGTAAATATCTTGATGTATAATGTACTTGGCAACTTGGAAAAGAAATGTCAACATTTAATTAATTGAAAGGGTATTTTTCTTTGTCATAATAGGTCCTGAAGTTCAATCTTACAGAATCTGGCCTATTTTGTGTTTTACCTTGGTTGACAATGGCATTTGCTGCAAATTTGGGCGGTTGGATTGCAGACACTCTTGTGAGCAAGGGTTTTTCGGTTACCAGGGTTCGAAAGGTGTCATTTTATCTTGTTCTTATTTTTCTGGCAGCTTCCTCTTGGGAATATGATATTATAGATATACTCCCTCCCAGTTACATTGTGCCTGAAGAGTATTTGTGCCTCTCAACTCAAATATTACATTTTTTAAAAAACTGAAAATTAATCTCTTTACCAGTCTATTACCTGTCTCAAAACTGTTTCATAATTATTATTTGTGAATGAGTTTAAATAAAACTGATAATATTACATGTTATTTTATTAAGTTTTAGTTTGAGAAATTTAGTTAATTCTTCTTCTCTTACAATGCTGTGTCTGGGAAACTGTTTTCCATGTTTGAGGTGTCAATTGGTCCATTTTAAAAGTTTTTTTCAACATACAATATATTCATCTGTCGTGAGACTGATATTTCTGTAAAATCGTTTTGCTTTCTCCTCCTTTTGACCATTTTGTATGAAAAAGAAATCCACCTATTATCGATCATTTTTTCCTCTACTAGAACTATTGAAGCTTTATCTAAAGAGTTGTTTGTTGATGGACTAAAATGACAGTGTGACCCATTTAGCTGACTTCATTTAAGGGGATAAGTCTTGTTGTTATTGTTGTTGCTAGGACTATTGATGCTAACTTCAAAATGTTTTCTACAATACCCAGAGAACGTCTTTGACTTCTTTATCCTTGGACATATGACAACTTAGAGCCTTCTGTTGGTGGGTGTTCTATACGAATTAAGTTCTGCAGGATTCTGACAGTATACCTTTTTTTTTTTGGTAGATAATGCAAACAATTGGGTTTCTTGGCCCTGCTTTCTTCCTAACTCAGTTGAGCCGCATAACTTCTCCTACAATGGCTGTTTTGTGTATGACATGCAGTCAGGTTTGCATCTTCATTTGTTTTGATATTTACTTTTTTTCTATTTTGATTCTGGAAATCTCTGAATAATATTCACTTTTAATCTCCCTTTTATTCCCGCGTGAATCCTTCAATTTCTCTGGATAGAAAGTTCTTTTATCAGAGTTTCTGACATATAAATGTCAATCAAGTAATTTTATCATGGTTTCTAGTTCATGATGCATGACCATGCAAATATGACAGCTCTGCAAGGTGGTGGTGGTGGTTGTTGTTATTTGCATTAAGGTTTTGTGAACTTAAGGAAGATTAATGATTCATTTTCTTTCCTATCCTTTTTTTATTATTTCTTTATGATGAAATTACAGTGAAAAACTTTAACTGAACTAAATCGGATTGTTTTTATTGTTCAATGTATGAGATTCAACAGTACTAACATGGTTTATATTCTCTCCAAGTAGGCAACTGATGCGTTCTCTCAGTCTGGTTTATATTCCAACCATCAAGATATAGCCCCGCGATATTCAGTAAGTAGACTTGATATGCCTAATGTTTTCTTCAGCATGTAATTTTTTTTGTTTGATCTGTGGAACAAGATGGCACAAGCTTATCTATTTGTGCATGCTAATGCATGGCCATCTCGGCAGCCTTTCATACGGTCATATTGTTTTAGGAAGAGAAACATCAGCTTTTGATTAAATTTCCTAATTTTCTTCTTAGGGCATATTGCTTGGTCTATCTAATACTGCCGGAGTACTGGCTGGTGTTTTTGGAACAGCAGCTACCGGGTTTATTCTACAGCGTGGTAAGTACTAATCCTTTATAGTTTATACTCTCTAAGCTACTGAAGAAAGTCCCATCGTTTTGATCCTGTGGTACTTTGATGCAAAACCACATGTTCTAGAATTATGAAGGACTAAAACTTTGTTTTTGGAATTTTTTCCCATTTTGGGCAGTGCAATAGTTTACTTTTATATGAAACCCCAAGGTAGACATGATCTACTAATGACAGTAAGCCAAACCAACGAAAAACAAAACACATAAGCACGCAAGACGTACGATTTAGTGACTTAACAGGTTTTTATAATTACCTTGATCTACTTATCTTTTAAGCGATTGGATTTAGGTGATGAATTGTTTACAAGTTCAGTTAGTCGGCAATAATGACTTGAAACTTCAGTTAACCTGGGAAAAAACACAAGAAGAAAAAAGAAAGAAAGATAGAAGGGAAGAAGAACTTTGGTTTGTCTCAAATTTGGGTTCTTTTTTCCAATGACAACAGTGAATTCTGGTTCTTCAGAAAATCATCCTAGCGAGTCATGAGGCTCAATAATTTATCGGAATCTGATGTGTGATACAAGAATCTGACGCTACATTTATGTTTGTCGTCTTGAACTATTATCAGGTTGTTGGGCGGATGTTTTCAAGGTGTCAGTTGTGCTGTACTTGGTTGGAACTGTGGTGTGGAACCTTTTCTCAACTGGTGAAAAGATTTTGGATTAACTTGCAGTGTCAGGGAGGACATTGCTCCTTAGTCCTTAGCATGTGTGGATGAGATTAAAACTAAACTCCCACGCAAGCGAGGAATGAAACATCTACAAGAAGAAACAGTTTGAAGTGGAGGCAACCCAGCTTCACTGATAATTTATTCCTGACAAATCGAGCACTGAGGTAATTTTGGTGTGCGGTAAGTTTAATTTCCCAAGCACTTGGAAACTTATTTATAAGATATTTGAGCATAACACGGATGAAGATTTTAAAAGCAATGATACAAGGTCGTTGAATATAAATATTCGATAAACCAGAATCCTTGCGGACCAATGTGCATTAGAAAGTGACTGAAGGGTCTCTCTTGGTGTTGGGAGATGAATTGGCATCATTTGAAGTATAATCCCTGATGTTGTGCCAGGGAAAAAGACTTTAGATTATAGAACCATTTTCTTTTTCTTTCTTCCTTTATTCTTCCCTTTTTGAGTGGGAAGGTTGCGCTAGTTGCTTGGGTTAACGACAATCACACTTGTAGATATAATATTGAACGCAACACAATTGATTTTTCATTTTTGTGACTGAGAAGCAAATTACTTTGTGATGTATTATTATCATTCATCAAGCTTCTCAGGTCAACTAAGGTGGTTGCATTACTGTTACGGATTCTGTTATACGTCACTTATGTGTCATGACTCTCTGATAATGAGCCGTTAGATGGTCTTTCTTTTGAAACGGTCACCTACTGTACTGATAGTCTGAAATCGTTTACTTGTCTTTCGCAATCAAACACTTTGGTCCCAAAATACAAAAAACTGGTGATTTTCAACTTTCAAGGTCTATCATCATCAAGCGTACGAAGCAACCTGAGTAAATTTCCCAATATTCGAAGGGAATAAGGAGAGAGATAACGGGCGGCTTGTTAAATTTAAGAAAATATAATTGTTGGTTCTTTTATTCGAGGGGAATAACGAGACAGATAATGGGTGGCTCGTTAAATTTAAGAAAAATGTAGAAAAATATAGTTGTTGGTATTAGTCTTTATATTTTTTAGTTGCTCCAAAACTTTTTAATTTTATTAGTATGTAATGTTAGTCTTCATTGTTACTAATAGAGTTAAATCTATTGATGTGTATAACTCTAATAATTCTATCATTGAGTTGGTAAAATTATGATGAGTTGGATGTTGTATGAGTAAGATAGTCACTAACTTTTTGGCATGTCTTTCCTATCCTAATTATCGAGTCGTCTTTACTTCTAACGCTTTATTGATTATGCATTTAAATATTTAAATTTAATATCTTATATGTTCTTGTTGCTTGTTGCTTTTTTTATATAACTGGATAATTTTAATAGGGCAATACTTATGTACTTGGCTTTATATACTTAACATATTTATATCTAATTAAATTATGACATGTGAAACTTAATGTATTAGTTTAATCAATAAGAAAAATTTATTATAGAATAAATAATTTATTAAGGATTCACTTGATTTAATTAAATATAAGTATCTTGAGTATATAAGGGTAAGTATATAAGTTTTTTTCATTGTAATAAGTTGCACAAGAAGCATGTACATGGTAGTTACTGTTAACTCCTTATGGTTACAGTTAAAAATGCAGGGGGTTAACATTATAGACATGTGAAATTTTAGAGATTTGGAGCAGTAAAAAAAAAAAAAGGAATTAATACTAGATTAGGTTAAAAGTATGGTTCCTTTAAATTTATTTACATATGTAATAAACTAATAATATGTATACACCAAATAGATCAGTTGATTATCTAGAAATAAAAGCATCATACGAATATTAAATTCAAAGGAAAAAGTATGACTTTATTATATAATTTTTATTAATGGACAAACAGCAAGAATATATGAAACATAAACAAGTACACCACCTTTCCAATTTGGTTGATCAACTGTGAAACACAAATTTTACCCACCCAACCCCATCGAACTCGTTACTATTTTAATAAATTCATGAAAAAAAAAACAATAATGAGAACAGTAATTCACATATACAGTCTCACATGTATATTACTAAATGACAATATTACCCCTCTATTATGTTTCCATGTCTTCTTTGCAATGACGAGAATGTCCCACGCCTAGGCCGCTTCTTGGAGCTTACGTGGATGCAAGAACACGTGGAGCCCATTCTTCATGAAAAGAGTGAGTGACATCTTCTGCTCCACTCGGTGACCGGGAACCTGACATATCCGGTAACGCAACAGGACCGCTGCCGCCACTGACTTCATTTGCAGGTAAGCCAAGTCCTTGCCCAAGCAGGTTCTCGGTCCGGCGTTAAAGGCCACGAACTTAAACCCATCCTTAGGCGGTTCGAACCTGTCTCCTTCAACCGTTAGCCACCTTTCCGGTTTGAACTCCATGCAATCGTCCCCCCAAATCTCCTTCATCCTCCCCACCGAGTATATTGAATACGTCACCGTCGATCCTGCTGGCACGAATGTCCCGTCCGGCAAGACGTCGTCGGCCATAGCGTACTTGAAGTCCTGTGGCACCGATGGGTACAGACGGAGAGTCTCAGCTAAAGCAGCCTTCAGATAAACCAATCGATCTGCTTCGTCGAAGTCCAGGGCTTCCTCAGTCCATTTCTGGTGATCTCCCCCGCGAGTGTCCCGTAGAACCTTGGAGATCTCGTCGACGATCTTGTCTTCCACTCGAGGATGGTTCATGATTAGCCAGAAGAACCAGCTGAGTGCCACTGAGGACGTGTCCCTTCCGGCGAGGACGAAATTCAGAGCGATTCGCTGGAGTACTGGGGTCGGAATGGGGTTACCATTGGCATCGAGCTTCTTCATAAACCGCGAGAGCAGATCGTCGGATGGAGCTTCCTTGCGCGCCAAGACGGCGTCGTTCATGTAAGTCTCCACGATTTGTAAGCTCTCTTTCAGTCTCCTCTCATCTCCGATATCTAGAAGTTTCTGTATCCTCCATCGGAGACCTGGGTATAGAAGTCTATGCATGGTGGCCTCCGTGGCGGTATCGAAAGCTACGGAGAACGGGTTTTCGGGTAAATCCGGAGAAAGAGTTTCTGGATCTTTGCCAAAGGTTAATCCGCATATGTTATCGAAGGTTAAGCGAAGAAGAAGGTCTTGTAAGTCCACAGACATGTTCTCCTTCGTCGCCTTGTCTAGAATACACCACAGCCGGTTCTTGATGGTCCGGTTTACCCAGCGAGCCATGGCTTGCCTTAGGGTTCGGGTCGTGAACTCTAGAGCTGCTGTTTTACGTTGCATGAGCCATGTCTCTCCGTCACTGTTGAATATGCCTGAAAAAAGATATATTCATATCTATAATGCATTCATAAAATATTTGTATACGAAAAGACACGTTATAGTATCAAGCATACAGATAAAATGTATCGGAAAGATGAGCTGTTACTCTTTTATATTGCAATATTGATAAACTTGTTATGTTAGGCCACCGTTAATTATAAGATTAGGCTTAACTATGTGATGTAGTGCTGGGTTAAAAGCACTTAAATTAGAAAACATTATCAGTGCAAATACCTGTGTTTTCTTGATGATCTGACGTGTTATGTGAGCAACAAGAAGGCTTGAATTTATTAACAAAGCTAAGTTTCTAATCGTTGAGAGGAAAAAAAACCCGATTTATTTTCTGTACCATAATTTATTAGAAGCTCGTGACATGAAACTTGATCAGTGCAATACCTTGACCCAGAAGATCGTGGAAAGCGGTTTGCCATTTGGGTCCCTTGGGGTAGTTACTGAATCGGGTTTTGAGGATATGCTCGATGTTCTTGGGATGACACGTTACTGTATAGAACCCTTGTCTGTGAGCCAAGAAAGGAATGGGAATAATGCAGGTCTGGTAGGTGGCAGAACCTCCAGCAGCTCGAAGGTTACCGGCGATCCAGTCATGGACTCGGCTTCGGTTCTTGAAAAGAAGAGGGAGGCTACCGACGAAGGGCCACACTTTGGGACCGGTCAAGGTTTTAGCCAGCACAAGGTAGAACCATAGCACATAGGCAGAGAGAGCAGCTGCGAGAGTGATGACAAGAGTAAGGGTCTCCATGTTGTGATTATTTTGTGTGATCAATGGTTTATTGGAACTGAAAAGAGAAGGGGGGTGCTTATATAAATTTGTATAGGATGGTGAAATGAGGAAGTTTAGGAGAGGGTTGGTTGGGAATTTTTTTTGCTCACAGAGTCGCTGTTAGGTTGATACTGGACCTGTATGAGAGAAACAAGAAAATTTTAATTTTTCTTTTCTTAACTTTTCTTGTTGGCTAAAAGCTTGATCATTTTCAGCTTTTTGTTGCCGGTTTGAGAACGACATGTTGAAATGAAGTTATATACCTATATATGTTTATTCTGCATGCATGCTTAATGGCTTGCTTGCTATTTGACTAGGGAAGATGCTAATATATGACAAATAATGTTGTAGAGTGTTTTTTTTTTATATAATTAGATTACGATAAATGTTTTCAGTTTTTTAAATTAGATTATGATATTTGTAAAAGGATTTTTTTAAGAGGAAGTCGGAAAGTTATTTGCAGTTAATTTGCCAGTAGATTTTAAAGTAATCCGTATGAATTTTTAAAGGAATCAGATTTAATTAATTTGATAAACAGATCGTATAAACATGTTATTTTATCATTTTGACTCTAGAACTAATTATACATGTGATATTTGAAAGCGTGTCATGTTTTTCTTTTCTTGATATTATTGGTGGAAGCACGTACACAGTGGGTGTGTAGAGTGCACGAGAGGAAGGAGTAGTTAGAGATGGTTTACCCGTAGCGGGAAAATGGGATTGCTGCAAATTTTAGAACAGAAACAAAATAAAAAAAAATAATTGAAAAAAATGATAAATCTGTGGATTGTGGGTCATAGATATCCACAGGAAAAATCAAGAATTTAATATGCCAAATTAAGAGAGTCCACTAAACTTGAAACTTGTGTGAGAAGAGTAGGGAAACGTTGAGGCCAAGAAAGCCATGAAATAAGAAAATTGACCCGAACGCCTCCTTCGGCCCCTTTTCTGACTCAACTAAGCAAGCCAACCCCTCCATCAATTAATCTTTTCTTTTATGGTTTGTCTCAATCAATGCCAAAATCAGATGTGCTTTTGTCACCTCATGCACGTAAATCCCTTCAAATGACGAGCAGTTTTGGTTTGGTAATGTATATATAATGAAAAAAAATAATGAAACAAATAAAAGCAATACTTTTTTTTTTTAAATCCTTAACCCTCCTTTTTGGTTACTCAAATTAAAGGAGGAGAGATTTTAATGAAGGGGTGAAAATGGATTTTAATAATCCTTTTAATTCACTTAAAATTGAGCTCTTTATATTCACGTTAGATTGAATGAATATTTGAAGTTATACATTGATAATATGGGGCAAATCATCGCACCTTAAAAGTTATATAAGAAATAGCAATTATGTGTGTTAAGTACAATCATGATACTAAAGTTATGTATTTATACGGATATTAACTATTAATATTACAAGTTAAAAGTCATACATGCATAAAAATATGGTGCCTTCATGCATTAATTATATGCTGGGAGTCATATAAAAAAAATTAAATATTAAGAAAAGTCAGGTCATGGTCAGCTTTAAAGTTTTTGAAACCCTGAACGACACAAAAAGGCATGAAAAACCAACACTTTTTGTTAAGCCATGGTCCAAAACCCAAAGTTTGGACACAAAATAGCGGTGTTTAATGATTTTGCATAATGGGCTTAGATGCGAAGGCTTGTAATTCAAAATAGAATCAAAGCCACTATCAGGGTCGCTACAAGTCCAATTCACAGCTTTAAACCTACCCTAATCCTCGCTAAATTAGCTGGAGTCTCACAACAAGCTAGTACTTAAAAAAGCCTTGACCAGAGAACTTGAACGCTTCAATAGTCACTACTTGATGGATTCTTACAGATGAGGGGCATGATTCACAGACCTTCTATAAGTTAAAAACTTCCCACTTTCTTAATATATTGTGGAGATCAATTAAATTCTACAATTTACATTCATTTTTCAGAATATTTTAAAATGAATCATTTAGAACTATTTTGTGTTATCTTCAAAGTTTCAGAGAAAACTCCTTTCAATATTCTTCCAGTTTGCGCAGAATACTTAACTTTTAATGGACAGTGTGTAATCTGGGCAAATTTTAAGCTTGTAGGCATATTTTAATTTTAGTAAGCAGTTAGATCTAATTTATATATATTTTTTAATGCAAATCATCGTTTAGGAAGAAGGTTAAATTTAGAGGACATTCTTATATCTTTATTGTTATGCTTTAGTTTTTAATGAAAGTTGCATGAATAAAATTATGTATTTTTATATGTAAGAATTGTCAAAATAATTTTTTCAAAAATCTTTGACAAACATTTCTTAAACGTGCCAAGATTATTTTTTTTTCTGACATGATAAGCATTTATTAATTTCTTTAATAAATTTGTAATGGAGATTTTTTTTTTCATATTTGCCCTCTTTTCATTGATAAAAGAATTTGATTCTTAATAAAAAAAAAAGGACTTGATTTTTCTCACTAACAGCAAGGGGAGACCACAATTTAATTTATAGGTGCCAAAAATTAAAAAGAAAAGGGGGGAAGGGAGAATTTTAATAAAGCCTCGTTGATCATATTTAATTACACTTAATGTCATTAAATTTTTAAATTTTCACTATAATCTAAGGTACTAATCTAATATTAAATTTAAAAAAATGACAAAATTGCTTTTTATTTAAATTAATATTAGATTATCATACTTTGCTTGTTCACTTACTTATTGAATATTATTAATTATCCTACTTCACTTGTTCATTTCTATGCAATGAATAAGTAAAATAAGACAATTATCAATAATATATAAATAAATAAATAACATACAGTATAAGAATTAATAAGTTATTTTAAAATTATTTAACTACAAAATAAAAATAAGTTAAGTGAGGTAATTAATAATATTCCGTAAGTAAATGAACAAGTAAAGTAGGACAATTAACAAATGAAGTATAAAAACTTTAATATTAATTTAAATAAGAAATAATTTTATTATTTTTTTAAAATTTAATATTAAATTAAATTATAATAAAATTTTATAAATTCAAAGGCTTTCACGTAAATAAATATGGCCAAGAGTCCTTTATTAAAATTCTCTGGAAAAAAAAAAGGGAAACAATCAAGATAAGACACGCTATGGAGAGAGCTCGTGGTGGCCACAAACCCAATCCAAGGGCTCACGTTGGCTGGACTGAACTGGCCACAGAGACCCTCAATAACATCACTCGCGACCCTCACCACTGAAATCTCACCATTTCCAATTCCAATCTCCAACCCCCAGAAATGGCTTCTGTGATTATGTCGTTTGCTCCTCCAACCACAAGAGTCTTCGCCGCCACGGCAGCCAAGGGGGCTGGAGGAAGCAAGGAGGAGAAAGGCCTTCTTGATTGGATTCTCGGAGGGTTGCAGAAGGAAGATCAGTTTTACGAGACCGATCCTGTCCTGAAGAAGGTGGAGGACAAGAATGGCGACGGAAGAGCCACGGTCAGCGGCAGAGGAACCACCAGCGGGCGCAAGAACTCCGTGGCGGTGCCGCAGAAGAAAAAGAATGGCGGATTCGGAGGGCTTTTTGCAAAGAATTGAAACACACTCTCTCTCTCGCGCAAGTACCCCATTCATATAATACATAGACGCTTGCATTGTTAATTTCTGTTCTCTGTTATTATTTTGGTTTCAATCTTTTGATTATAATGGAACCCTAATTTGTAGCTACTGTTCCATAATCCATGCAACCGTGGTTTATATTACACAATACACACTGAAATTCTCTGCTCATTAAACAGAATGTAAATAATGAGTCACGATTTCGGAATAGTGGGATTCTAAATTTCTTCACTATATTTTCCACCTAGTCATAGATATAGTCATCTCGTGCTTGGTGTGGTATTTCATATATATGACTCTTTAGCCTCACCGACGCTTCCAAATTAGAAGCTGCGTTTAAACTTCTGCCTGGAACCTGTTAATGATTTAATTTTTTTAGTATTGAACTTGTGGATTTCTTTATTTTTTTTATACGAATTTTTTATATGTTAGAATAAGGTTCAATTGCGTACGGATTTTCTTAAATTTTGAGTAATGTGTAAATAATTTTTGCCTTTAAAATTTAGTAAAGATCTCCTTAATTTTTAAATTTGTGTAGACAATTCTTTGCTGTTAATTTTGTTCTTTTATTAATGTAACATGATATGTAATTGGCCATATTTCCTCTTATTTTTTTCTTTTTAAAATTATTTAGCATGTGCAAATAAATTATTCGTTATGTTATATTTATATAATATCTATGACAATCAGTTTAGTTGATAACTTGATATGGCAATTGTTCTTTTTAAGTAACGTTTTGGATATAAGTCTTGTGAATGAAAGAATTTGCTGCAACATGATTTTTGTACCATGCGATGAGTCAGCTCACTATAAATTAATCCCGGTTTTACGTGTATTTTGGCATTCTGTGAGCATGACCAAAAAAATATGGATGAATTAATAACGAGAGTTATCTTTATAGATCTAAAAGTTTTGAAAATTTGCCTGATACGCTCAACAAAGTGAGTTTAGGAAAATTTATTGACAAGTTTTAAACATTAGAGGGTTAATATGTATGCGATTAGACTGGGCAAGCTTGCTAAATTGGACCCATGTGTTGATCGTTCTCTCTTAAACTGGATCCTCGTCCTACTGTGTCGTCTAATCATTGGGCTATTGTGTCTCTGTGTCTAATAATAACAAAAAACAGCCCCCACATTTTTTGGGAATTGGTTTAGATGAGCACCAATGTTTCTGAATAATACTGAAATACATTAATCAACTAGGTAAAAGACATCCAACCGAAGAAAGAAGCAGAAAGGAACAAAAAGAAGACAAAAAACCACAACCTATTCTCTTTCATTATTTTTCACCTCTGAATTTAAACATGGATGATAATCAAAGGGATAAAAGTTAACATTTAAAGAGTGAGATAATCTAACTAAAGAGTTTGCTCTCTATATAGATCATTTTATTTTATTTTTAATTAATATTTATTAAAATAAAATTTTTAATAAATCTACCTTATCATCTATTTGAATGATATGGATTTAATTTGGATAGTTCAATTTTTTTTGATAAAAAAGAATATAATGATTATTCAATTTAATAATAACATTTTTATAATTTTTATAAATTTATTGTCCAAATGTATGAACAACAACTTAAATTTAACATTAATTTTTTTTAGAATTTTTATGATTTTTTATTTTAGTGATAATAATATTAAAAATAAAGATAATATCTAAACTGTAAAAAATATAAATTGTTAAAGTTATATAAAAAATATAAATTGTTAGAGTTTTTATGTTTCATCTTACTATTGAGATTGATACATGTGTTTGTGTTTGTGTGTGTATCACTGTAGATTATTTTTTTAAATTTGGAAAAAATAGCCAAAGAGAGGCATCTAATTGCACGCGATGGCACATAATCACAAAGCTGTGTTTGGCTGTTTGGGAACCAACCTAGCCCCTTTGTATCACTTCAATGAAGAGATCTAATAGGATACAAACCAATTAATAAAATACATCTAATCTAATTAATAAGATACATACATACAGTACAGTAATTTAAATTTAAGAGGGTTGATATATTATTTCAATATCCTTTGTCTGTCATCATTCAAGATTTTTTTCCCCCGGGGGGGATGGGGAGCAAAAAAGTTAACGACCAAAAAAAAAATTTAGAGCAAAATTGCAGTCTTGATAACTTTAAAACAATAGGACTTGTTCATAAAATCATACTCAGACGAGATTTCATTTCCAGGGTTCAACAGTAGTTAGCTTATGGATCTTTGTATTTAACAAAGACGTTAATTCATTTTGTGTTAGTTACTACCAATCGGATATAGTAATCTGTTTAACAGACTGAAGTTTGCTGTATGCTGATTTTTCCCTTTTTCTTTTCCTTTTTGCCCCACTTGTTTATGTCAATTAGCTGATGCTATAACAGATGTCTGTTAATATCATTTCAATTCCAAATTACAATATAATAGTTACAAAGCCTGAACTTTATTTGAAGGACAAGAAGACCAGAAGAAATAGTGTCTGTGTGTGTGTTATGAAATTTCCAAAACAAAGTTGTAACTGAGTTCACCAGTTACTCTGGGCAATCAAGTTAGGGAGGGCGGTTTCTTTTGACAATAATTTCAATTAATCAATGCCTTTGATTATTATTATTATTATTATTTTAATGTACTGCTAATATTTCATAGTATACACACAATTACATGCTCATCAATTCAAAAAATGGGCTTTGGATTCTAAACTGTTCAAAATAAAGTTTTGAACAGAATGAGACTGAATCCACTTGGATTCTATAAAGTCCACTGTGTGTTGCTTCATTGTTCAATAATTTTAGCTGAAACCAAATACAAACCCTCAGAATCTCACCAAAACATCATTCAATAAAGTAAACTCAGCTTATAAAAGATAAATAGATCAAGTTAATTTTGTTTACTGCTGTTCCCTTATAACTGATTTGCTTGCTATTAAGTCTAAGAAAGCTGCACAAAAGAAAAAAAAATTAAAAACACAGTAGCCTTGCGGAGGTATCTTCTCTTATTGCTGTTTTGCAGACTGATGAACACATTCATTCAAGATCATGACTAAACACTTGAAAGCATATTTGAGATCATACCATAATCCTCAAAATGGTTCAATGGGTGATCAGAGGATTGCTGGCTGATGAATTCGATCTTGAAAAGGAAGAATGAATGAACTCAATACAGTCCTCCACAGCATCAGACCTGTAAGAATCCACAGAGCTTCCACCACCTGCTCTTGAATTTGATCTTCCCAAGGAAGGAGATGATGAATCTTGTGGCAAGTGTCTTCTTCTTCTTAGTCTTCTCGTTCTTCTTCTTCTTCTCTCTTCAGACACAAATCTTATAGCTCTAGCCGCTCTCTCCGCAAGATGCTTTAGAAACTCCAGAGGTGAAAACTCAGACTTATCTGGAATGCACCCGAAGTTGCAGCTAGTCATGTACCTGCTCGTAGCTGAATTCTTACTGCTAGAAGCATAGTTACGAGAGCATGAGAAGCTTGTTTGGCGATTGAAGTAGCCTCTTTGGTTCATTGTGTTGCTCATGCTTAGTGAAGCAGAGGAGGAACAGAAAGTGCTCTTTTTTTTGATGTGGTTGGGGATAGAGAAGAAAATGTAGGTGAGAGTTGAGACCCAGAAGGCAGAGTTTGGTGGAGGAATAGCGATTGTGCGATGATACGGTCTTATATATAATATAATATATATATATGTAATAAAATATTCATGGCCTTCATCAAACCATTTATATTCTTCAGTTACAAATGATAATAAAAAGTAGCTAAAAATTCGACAATTCACACTTAGTAATTAAAAAACAACTAATTAACAAGTATTGATTTTAATGGAAAGGGTTATGATCACTTTAAGTACATGGTCTCAAATTCAAATTTATATGAATGCAAAAAATATTTTTATAAAAACTACTCTTAATTGAGCCGAACAGCATCCAGTTAGATATTCATATAAAAAACGGACTGAGAAAATATGAAATCAGAAAGAAAATAAGTAGATTTAGAGAAAAGGAGGGAAGTGGGTTAAGGGGGTGGGAAAAGAGGTTGAATGGGTAAAAGGGGAAGGAAGGTACAAGTGTTTAGTGTCACACTTTTCCGTTGTTTGTCTACTTTTCTGATTCATTGCTATGCAATGCCACACACTTTTGTGCTTTATGGGTAGTGGGGAGGGGCATATTCAGTTAATTACTATCTAAGAAACCAACCTTTATTCAATTAATTATTTTTTGAAAAAAAATATGAGATGTGTGTGGGTGACCTACTCGTAATTCCGCAAGTCACCACAAAACTGCCAATGGTTTTGCCGTTATTTGGATGTAAGCAATGATTACTCCATCTTTTTAAATTCCACTTGACTTGACATTCTGGGCTGTGGTGAACTCTAAATCTAAATTATCCAAAACTAATTTTAATGGGTTAGATTTAAAATTTTTAACCTATAATTTTTGCATGAATTTTTTTTTGTCAAAGTGACAATTATAAAATTACAATTACTTTAAATTCATTACTTATAAAAATAGTAATATGTTAAAAATATAAAATAAAATTTTATTAAATTTTAACTACCTAAATCAAATATGAACGTTCTACATTGGTGCTCATCATAAACTAAATCCCATTTCTTTGACATCTCATCAACTGTGATGGCCACGCCTGTTGGTCACACTAAAAAACTTCTATATTGATCAATATATGCTAACTACTAAGTTCATGATATTGATACCTACTTTTTGTGGTACATAAGTATATTATTTTCGTATTTCAAAATCGTATTCCTATTTTTGCATTTTCCTGGGTGTAAGACATCACAAAAAGACGTGCAAGTTAGAGAGGAAATGATATTTGTAATAATGCCTAATAACCTACTTCAAGAGAGGAACAATGGTTGTGTATCTCGTATCTCATTGTATAGATATATACATTTTTATAATGTACTAATAAAAAGTAAACGGCATGAGAATGCAAATTTTTAAATCAGTCACTTGTGTAAGTGCTAATTTACAAGCCACTCTCGCCCGCAAGAATTTTTTTTTTTTCAAGGGAAAAAAAAGGAGAAACTAAATCTCCCACAAGCACTAGTGCGTATTTGTGCGCGCGATCATGTCATTACAACCTTGGAGTAATTCCAAGCATGAACAAGTTGACATGATATGTCCTATTTAATATTAAATTCAACGTCCAACTTTCGCATGTAAATGTGAAACTTGGAAAGATAAAAAGGCAATTCAACTAACAAAGTTTCGAGTATTTTAATTTTAATATGTAAAAGGAAGCAGAATTCTGTCGCCAAGCATCGGCAAAGTTTAATTTCATAGAGCTACTTTACATGTAGTTCAAAGTTCGATTAAAATTGGGAAGATTCTCATGCAACTTTATAGCCATAAAGATTAAGAGAGATTAAAACAAGGTCCCACTTCTAAAGAGTTTATTTGCTTAATCAAATTGTTCCATTCAAAGTTGAGATACAAGACATGTGGTGGTCAAGATATGATTTCAATCTTCTTTTCAATAATAAATCATGCTGTAGGGCATACTATAATTTAGGCACAAGGATTTCTCAATATACTACTTTAGAATCTCATGATTCAACAGTATAGGCAGATGGCACCAGTGATAATGTTTCATACTATTTTAACTTGTCAGGCAGAGGCAGATTTCAATTACAAAATTCAGTGCTTATGAAATTTGTTAATGTTGGGATGCATCAGCAGTTTTTGATAATTTTATAGAGAACTCTACTTCTGAAATGGTTAAACATTCTCATTATTAGATGCGTCTATTGCGTGCATCTAATAATAAAAATCTTCCAAGAAATAGAAGGCCCCATAGAATTACCCTTCAAATCGCAGTTCACCAACTTAAAAGTACCAAGAGACAATGTTCAGATCTCGTAGTGTAAACGTTTGGTTGAGCAACTCGGTGATCGTCATGCAGAATCTGCTTCCCAGGAATCAGCTAGCTCAAACCATATTATAACGCAAATTTCCCTGCACTGCTGCAAATGCATACAAAAATGCAGAAAAAAAGAACAATGCACGCTCCCTACGCAGGCTTTACCCTGTTCAGGTTCAAAGGGACTATCTCAGCCTCATCTGCTAGCATCCTAGCTCTTTCAAGCTGGAGCTCAAGCAGATGAAGGCACCCCTGGTGCATCTTGAATGTTAATAAGATTTCCCGAAAGACGAAGACAAATCTAAACATGAAACTAGTGAAAATGCTAGGTTTATTCATGGAAATCATAGAACACCAGACAAACAGAATAAGGATAGAGTTTTAAAAGATTGTCTAACAAACTGAACTTTGTATTCTCCTGCAGCAAGGAACTTGAAAATTATTCTTCACCATTCTGATACGCCTATTAAGCAACCAGCTCCAAGTTCCATCTCAAATCGTCGGTCATTCACTCCATTCATATTGCCCTGCATGAGAAGTTTCGTAAGACATTTCCATATCTGCTGATAGGATCCTATCAAAATCAAATGGCAGACAAATTTTTGATGCAGCAGTGAAGAACTAAGGTGTCTGTGGATACTTGAAAACAAATGTCACAACGTATTGAAACGATGTCCATCCTATTTCTATTGACATAAGACAGTGAAGAAGCTTCTAATGATGTAATGTGCACTGAAGCAAATCCAAGTTCATCACAAGTATTCTCAATCAATTCAAAAATCCTAGAAAAGGTGTAATTTACGATGAAAGCAGGAGTAAAACTTAAACTTACCCCTCCTTGGAATTTATGTAACTTTCTGGCAGGTAAATTTCTCCGCCAGCTTCACCATGTTGCTCCCCACTGACAGTTTTCTTGGCGGCCAGAAATTCAGCACTCATAGCATCCATCCCATGCTTCAAAGCTTCCTCAACATCCCCATAGCCATGTTTCTCAGCATACTTGCGCACGTCCTCTGTTATCTTCATAGAGCAGAATTTAGGTCCGCACATGGAACAGAAATGGGCCACCTTGGCACCTTCTGATGGTAGTGTTTCATCATGGAAGGACAGAGCAGTCATTGGATCCAATGACAACGCAAACTGGTCCATCCATCGGAATTCAAATCTAGCCTTGCTTAAAGCATCATCCCAGGCTTGAGCATGTGGATGACCTTTTGCTAAATCAGCTGCATGAGCAGATATCTTGTATGCTATAACTCCTACCTTCACATCATCCCGATTTGGCAACCCAAGATGTTCTTTTGGAGTGACATAACATAGAAGAGCAGTGCCAAGTGCTCCGATATTGGCAGCACCGATTGCAGAGGTGATGTGATCATAACCAGGAGCTATATCAGTTGTTAAAGGACCGAGAGTGTAAAAAGGTGCTTCATTGCACCATTCCAGTTGTTTCTGCATGTTTTCAGGAATTTTGTGCATCGGTACATGTCCAGGTCCTTCATTCATGACCTGTAAGTCAGAAAAGAAAATCGCTCATTTTCTCCAAGGAAGTATTGACAGTAATGGTATTCCATCAGCTGATGTAAGTAATGGTTATGGTATGATAAGATAGGGCAACCCTGGAGCATGTTTTCTTATAAATAATCCACCATGTTAAAGTTTGGCAGTAAGGCAAACCACTAACTTTACTGGCCATAATAGCTGTATGAAATTCAAGAGCAGTTGAAATGTTCTCCTCATTGGAGTACTGGTCTATTCATACCCAAGCTTGTGATATTAATAACAGCTGTCTACGTTAGTCCCAAGAAAAACCATAAGAGCTAGACCAAACAAAAAATCAAACGAAAGGCATTCAGCAGATTTATGTACATAGTGAGTTCAACTCAGACACAGGTTAAAGACTGGTATTTATCTTGCCATAGTTTTATCATGAACATGATACCAAGAAATATCAAAGATTTATCACCTGCACATCCTTCTCCCATGCTCTACGGGTCAGCTCTCCCTGCGTCAAGAGTTCAGCAAACTGAGCTGTGTCATTTGCATCATAGATGGACCCAGGTCGTAGCCCATCACCAATGGATAAGGCCACATCATACTGATTACAGATGTCAAGGATGTCATCCCAGTGCTCATAAGCAAAATTCTCCTTGTGATAAGCTAAGCACCACTTTGCATGAATGGATCCTCCTCGGGAGACTATTCCAGTCATGCGCTTTGCTGTTAATGGAATATACCTCAGAAGCACTCCTGCATGGATGGTGAAGTAATCAACACCCTGTTCAGCCTGTTCAATAAGGGTATCCCTGAAAATTTCCCAGCTGAGATTTTCAGCAACTCCATTCACTTTTTCAAGTGCTTGATAAATTGGTACTGTCCCAACTGGTACAGGAGAGTTTCGTAGGATCCACTCTCGAGTTTCATGAATGTGGCGACCCGTGGAGAGGTCCATGACTGTATCAGCTCCCCACATAGTTGCCCACTGAACCTTGTAGACTTCCTCTTCTATAGAACTTGCAACAGCTGAATTTCCAATATTTGCATTTACTTTCACCAGAAAGTTTCTCCCAACTATCATGGGCTCAAGTTCCAAGTGCTTCCTGTTGGAAGGGATGATAGCTCGTCCACGAGCAACTTCTGACCTCACAAACTCTGGGTTGAGCTTCTCACGGGCAGCACAAAATAGCATCTCTTCAGTAATTATTCCTTGCTTGGCATAATACATTTGAGTGAATCTTGGGGCACCTATTTTCTCCCGCCTGTCAACCCAGTCTTTGCGTAACTTAGGGAGTCCTGTTCATCAAAAACCACCAAGAAAGCAACCATGTAAATCAACGAGTTTTTCCTAAGGCCTGGTGTGATAGAAACACCAAAGTATGGTTTTGAAATGAACTTACTAATCCCATGCATCCCTTCTTTGTCTTTTAAGAAAATGGCACTTGTAATTGAAGCCAGGAAGCCAAGATAATAAAAAAATAAATAAAAAGAAAATCTTAATTTGACTATTTTTCATTTGTAACACTATGTTGAAATGTGATTAATATGATTGCATGTGAATGCCCAACGCCATGTCTGAGAAAGGCAAGCATTGGTTAGTTTAGTACATAATGAAAGTCAATCGGAGAAAGTGAGAAGCCCTAAACTACACTTAAAACTTATACTAGACTACCACTGAAAAAGGAAAAAGAAGAACATTCAGGTAAAAGATTGAATAGCATCCATCTATAGCATCTTAGTGAATTCATTGATAAATGATTTCCATAAGGAAGAGAATTGGAAGACCAGTTAATTACAAGTTTAAGCTAGTTGCAAGAATTCTGCACCGAGTGACACACCTTGGAGAATAAATGAAGAGAACAGGTAATAGAAAAAAAGCCAAACTAATCTTTAGGCTGTAATGTCTACTTAACACAGAGAACAAGATAGCACGAATTGTGAAAATAAAAAAGATCAAGATAATCCGGAAATATTGATAGACAGAGACAGAATAAATGCCAGTTGATTCACCCAAAAAACAATTGGCCTCAATTCCTCATGAGCCCAAGGTACCCAAAATTAGTCACAAGAAATTATAATATAGAGAATTTATAGACTTAAGCTTGATCAGCATACCAATCCTTGGGCTTATATTTTGAGGGCCACTAGTATCATAGGCATCGAAGCATGGTTCATCCCCAGACAGGTGAACTCGTCTAAAGGGAACTTTGAGCACATGACCAGTTTCTTCATGCATCACTTCCCTAAAACATCATGACATAAAACTGAGTCAATTGAAGACATCTTATAAGTACATTGATCTGAATACAACTACGAAAAATTGAAAAGCCATAACAGCTGGAAATAAAATTAAATAATCATATAAAATAATGAGAGAGACATGTGAGGCATACTTGTATTCTTTTGTGCTTTTCGGAAAGCATTGTTCAAATGAAGGAAGAGTAAGAAAATCTGGAGAAGCAGGGTCAACAGTGTTCTTTTGTCTGCTTCTGTCTGAATTAGTAGCTAGAGGATCAAATGTCAATGTGGCTCTAGGGCCCAAGGCCATGGAAAATGGGACAAATTCTTTCTTCCAAGTACTGGAGACACGCCCAGCAACATCAAATCCAGGCAAGAATGCTGTACCAGGGAGCTTTGGTTGAGAAACATGATTGCCATTCTTGCCAACAATTGATGTCGCATTAGCATGAACCAACGCCATCTTGATGCTGAACTAGAGAAATCCAAGTTTTAAGAGTTGGTCAATTTTCACTTTCACGACAAAAGATATGCATGTTTAATGTCTAAAGACACCAACGTAAATAGATAGAAAGAGAAATCATATCTATCGTCATAAATATTTATACAAACCAATGGCCTCCATTAGAATGATAATAGTAATAACAGCAAACAAAAACCCTCCATAACAAATTTTCCGAAAGTGGTTTTCATTGCGTATAAATTGTTTAAACATTTCTACAGGAAAAAAAGGCTTTTTGTACCAAGATCCACATGCAGATAAAATAAAACATGATAAGAATATAATTATGAGTACAATACAGGTAAAAAAACAGGGGGGGGGTTAATACAGGTAAACATGGGAAAATGGGGGAAATGAAGCGCTAAAAAGAGGCAGAAGACGTGTATAATTTGATCTACAGAAAAAATTCAGAACCTGAAAAAGCAAAAGCCGGTAAGAATGGTCAGAATTCCTATATACCTGATGGATAAAGGTAAAATTTACCAGTTGGTGTCAAAGATTACAATCTCGACCAGAAACTTAGCCACCTCTTCCTTCAGTTCACTCTCACACATCGCAATCTAAGATATTTGTGCGTCAATTTTTATGCTTGAAATATATTTAAAGATAAATTTGCTGGAGAGTTAAAAGCTTCAGGATATGTAAAATTTTGTGTTTGAATAATATTAACGATGAAGACTTATGTTTTTATTTTTATTTTTTTTCATTTTTGGGTGATCCTACGTGAATAACTTGAGAAAAAATGGCTCATTTCAAGAGTTGCCGTCAAATCAGGGGCAGGAGACTCAACTGGAAACGGTATGCAGATTGAGACTGTACTAACATGTCCACGATTAAACGCTATAACCAAGCTCCAGAATAAAGTTTCATGACAACCCAACGCTCAACCACGAGCGTCAAACCCCAGGAATCTATTTTACCACTGGAAAATGAGATCCCTCTCCTAATGTTCCGCACGTGCCACAGATATAAATTCCAAAGCTATCAACAATATTTCTTCCTAACTTATCCCTATCCAACCTCACTGCGTGAAGGGAGTGAGGATTTTCATCTTCAAAGAAGCAGAAACAGAAAAAGCACAAGGAAGAGACTCCTTAAAACAAATCTAAACAAGACTTGCGACATTATTACAAAAGGAAATTGTTACTAAAGCCGAGATAGAAAGGGAGAGCGGGAGAGAGAGAACCTGAATGAAGATGCTTGGCGCAGCCACTGAATTCTCTCACAGCGGGCGAATAAGTGAAAGAAATGGGTGCCAGTACGTTGTGCGTGGGCTGGTGAGGTTTTATAGGATGAGGAAGCCACGGACGGCGCCCTACTTCCTCTCCAATGATAAGAAAAATCTTTTTTCTTTTTTACCAACAAGAAAAATCTAAATAAGAGAAAAGTTATTGTGAGAAAAGAATAACAAAATGTCTTAATTGAACTGTATACTGAAAATTTAAAAAGTTATTCAAATTATTTTTAATAACACAAAATGTATGCATTTTTAATTTTTTTAAAATTTTTTTGGCCAACAAAAAATCAATTTTATTAATATAAAAAAATTATTACACTCAAAGGCAGAAAGCAAAAGAAAAGTAGAATCCGCAACGAAACCAAAAAGTAAAGAAAGTAAGAAAGCCTATAAGTATATCCCACTTAAAAAGGTCAAAATCAAACAGTATACAAAACGAACACGGTACTAAGGAAAAAAAATAAAATGTAATCAGCTAACTCCGCTTCTATCTTTCCTCTCGGCTAAGTTTCTTTAAGATTATTAAAACTTTCTTTTTTAGTTAAATTACAGTGACTCCGTAAGAGAGATTTGTGAATAAAATAAATACATGATTTTTATTATGGTTATGAATAAAATAATATAAGTATATAGCGTATTAAAATGATGTAATTTCTGTATTCTTATAAAATTTATTTTTTAAAAAAAAGTAGGGTACTATTCATAGCGTGACCACCTCTCGTCATCCACGTTAGTTAGCGTTCAAAAAGGTAAAACATGGCTCTGCCCTTGGCGTCTCGTGACTTCCTGTAACCCTCTAGATATCTGTAAGGGACACTGTGACTTGACACATCATGTCAATTGGGGCTGAATCATGTTCGGTTCAATCTAATTGGAGAAGCTCCAATCTTATTCAATCTGGTTAGAAATTGATTCTTTAAAATTGAAAAAATTAAAAAATTATACTTTTTTTAAGTTGGACTGAATAGAAAATTAAATACCTGCATCACTTGGTCCTATTAAATTTATTTAATATAATTATAATTAATTTTAATTATTTTTAATAATAAGTTAAGACTATTAATAATTTATTAAATATGATTCATGGCATAATCACATGTACAAACTAATAATTTAATAATTTGAAACACTTGAGTTGTAATTGAAAGATTTTTTTATTATTGTTGAAAATTATTGTGAATTTATTATGACTATAAGTGTGTTTATTATCTTAATTGAGTTTATTAAGTTGAAATGAATTATTGCTTCTCATAAGAAAAAAAGAAAAAAAAAGTTAAGTGAATATCAAACTAACAAAATCAGTCTTTCAATCCTATAAATCAAGTTCAATTTTATTAATTTTAAAGTTATCATTAGATCAAATTAAACTATAAATTATCTAATTTAATTATTTTTATAAAAAAAATCAGACTTTAAATTAAATTAAAATTTAATTTCATTCAATCTTTTGTGCAGCCTTAACGTCAATGAACTAATATTAGGCTTATCACTTTATTTTGTTATTTATGATAGAGTTATTTTCTTTTCTTCTTTAGATCAAACAGGTGAACAGATGCTCTCTCGCGTGTCCCTCTTCTACTATTGGGAACAGTCTAATCAGATTCGAATTGATTTTTTTGTATGTTTATATACTTTCTAATTTTTAATTATATTATAGCAACATCTACCTACCTTGTTAGAATTAAAAAATAGCCAAGTTATTAATTTCGTTGAAAGTAGAATAATTTTTTAATTTTATTTTTGTTTAAATAAAAAATTTTAAACTTACATTATATTCTTTCTTATAATAAATGAATTTAAATATGATTAATATTAAAAAAAAATATAATTATTAATCTATAAAGTATTTTATATTAAAAATTAATTTTTTTTTCTAAAAACACATCCTACAACAGGAAGAGAAGGGAATATCGATTATTCATTTAGTGAAGGAAAAGTGCAAATTTATTCATTAAATTAAATTTGATAGATTTTAAAAATGTAGAAGAATTTGTACAGTTAAAAATATCGATAAAATTTAATCTAAATGCTTAAGATTTTACAATGAAGATGCAGTAGTAGAGGGATAACACAGATGGGATAAACCAAATCCCAATTTTTGGTGCATTGTTCAAATCAGGAAACAAGAGTTAAATAATTTATGATTTGTAAAATAATTATAATTTAGAGATAATACAGAGTTCAATAAATTTGACTCGGTTATTGATTTACTCTCTAAAATTTATTATGAATTTTATATTTTATGTGGATATTATTGATAATAATGTTTTGTGTGTAAGCTCCGCATATCCTGTGGAGACTTCGAAAAATATTGCCATTATTCAGGATGGAATATTATTAGTATGTCACATTATACATTCTAAGTTTATATTAATTGTTAAATTTAAAGGTAACAATAATGGAAATACAATTGAATATCACTTAGTAGTTTATTTAGTATTTTTTTTCTCTGTACAATTGTTATGGTCAGATCAAATTCAAATATTATGGAGCTTAGTTAAAACTAGTTCTCTCAAAGTCATTTTTTCAGGCAAGACTTTAATATTTAATATATTTTTATCCAATCAAATGAAAGCATATAAATTCTAATGTGTTAATAATACTATAGGAGAATCACATCCAAGGTCTCATGAAAAAAATTATTTACAAATAAGGATCAATATAAAATAAATTATTGTTAAAATAAGAACATAAACTTATGTTTTCTCAAATTTGACTTGAGATTGGTACTTGTTTGAGAGTAACTTTTTTTTTTAGATATTTATATGTGATTCTCCCTAATGTTATTAACAATAATTTGTCATAAAATAAGTAATATATAAAGAGTCCATATGTCGTGATTTAATTAAAAATAAGTATTAAGCATATAAGTTTTTTTTCATATTTTTTCATCCATTTTAAGATCTTGACTTTATTTAGAGGGAGCTTGCTTGGTAGGTTGAAAATAAGAATAGAAGCAATTATACATTATAACATTCGATTAGAGTATAGACGTGATTTTTTTTTTTTAAGAAAAAGATAGAGTGGCAGTTGACCAAATTATTTTTATAAGCAAACAAGGGGGAATTTGAATTTTCATTCGTGTTACTCTTTCTATTTAAAAATATAAGATATTTTTAATTGAATCTCAGCCCTCAATAAAGTAGTTAATTACTTTTAAACTAACCCTGTCTTTTCATATTCACACTATTAAATACCCTACAATAAATATAAAGTCATTTATCAATAGGGACACTTTTAAAAAAAATGATAATTATATCTCAAAATATTAAAAATATTTTATATTTTTTAATATCTAACTCTTTAAAAAATATTTTATATTTTTAAATGGAAGGGAGTATTTTTTGATGGACAACGACATTCCTTTCTTCTAAATTACTTGGAAACAAAAAATTGCATCAAAATGATTCCTTGTCATTGTCATTTCCCTTTTCAACTCTTCCATTTGGGCAAACATGCCGGAAACCAAAAATTGCATCGAAGTGATTGCTTGTCATTATCACTACCCTTTTCAGCTCTTCCATTTAAGCAAACATGCCAGTAAAGGGACATACGATTTGGGAAAAGGTGACATCTACAGAAAAAAGCTAGAAAGAGTAATAGGTTTGATGCTCGAAGTTGCATGATGAACATTTTGAATTTTGTAGCATATTAAAAAAATTAAATATATTTTTATTGCAATAGTTTTATCCTTTTTTTTAATTTATAACTAAACAAACATATTCAACTCACACTATAAAAGAAAAAATTAATTTTTGGTGGTAATAAAAAGTTATCGTTAAAAGTTTAAAAATTATCACTAAAAATTTATTGCAGTGACTTTCGTTGCTATATAACATTTATTGCTAATAGTTTTTTGAGGTGATAATAGTACACTTTTAGCAGTGATATGAAACACCAAGATAAATAATTAGTTTTAGCAGCGATATTTATTGCTCCCAAAACTTTTTTTTTTAAAACAAGAACTTATTTTATGTTACATCACTTCGCAATGTGTGCATTACGGGATGTCAAGTAATTGTCATCCTGTGCCATGTCACAAGCCACATGTTTGGCAGATGATGCCACATTACTCTACCGCCTCATGCCACGTATGCACCTCCTCAAGCCACCTCACGCGCACACGTCACCTGTCACGTGTGTACTTCCTCAAGCCCCCTGTCAACCATGTCACATATTTATTACAAAATATATCAAAGTCGAGGTTTGAATCTTAACCTCCTACTTCCAAGTCATAAGCCTCCCTTATTTATTAGTTGAATTGAAATGCACTTACAATTACTATATATAAAATTAAATACATGTTATGTAATTGCATGCACATGTATTAAATAATATATTATTAAAAAGATATACATATATTATATTTTGTTTTCAATTATTAATATAACAAAATAATTTAGATCAATGTTTAAATTATATTCTTAAGAAAACATTATTTTTTACAACTAAATATTATTTTTGTTAGGAAAATAAACTCAAAATAAATAATTTTTAAATATTAAATAAAATTATTATATACAGTGCAACCAATTTTAAAATTTTATTTTTATTTTTTAAATGAAATTATTAAGTCTATAATTTATTTAGAAATACATATTATATATTATTTTATATTAAATGTCTTTTACTTTTTTCTTCTCCATATTTTTCTCAAAAATTGATAAACTAAATGATTAAATTTTTGTCTTCTCTCAACATAGCTAAATGTTTCCCCCTCTTTTATTAAAAATATATTTTTTCAATAATTTGTTAATGTCTTAAAAAAGTATTTTAATATCAGATTAATTTCAAACACATAAATTTTGTTAATAGTAATTTTTGAATTTTTAATGAATACTAATAACTTTTACAAAACAAGATAATTACAAGAATCTCATATGGGATCAATTTAATTAACATCTAATCATCCTCAATCTCATAGCAAAGTGAATTTGAATAATTATTCATGTCACTCATAGTAATAATTAGTTATAAAAATGTTATCAGTAATTTTATTTTATAAAAATGGAAACCTAAATATACTAGGCTGGATTACATGAAATTCTTATTCAAAAGTCATTAGAGCTTAATAGAAGAAGTAGACACCACATATATACTAAACTAAGCATCAAATAAGCAATATGCTGAGTAATCTATAACATTATTTGCATCCCACAACATTTGTATAATTAGCGTCTCAATGCCATTTATGTATTTGTATGTAAGTAATAATTTATGTATAGCTTAACCTAATTATAATTAAAAATAATAACCCATTAAAAATTTAATTTATCATATTAAAATACTAGCTTAATAACATAATTCTTAAAAAAATAAGCTATATATGTCTACATAATTCAAAATTAGACAAAATTTCATAATTAATTTTTTTTTGTTTCATGATCCTATATATCATTTATTTCTAATTTTATATATAAAATAATAAATTTAATTTCATAAATGTCTTGTCAATAATTTTATCTAATTTTAAAATTTTAGAATAATTCACAAGAAATTTTTTAATAATTTTAATTTTACTTTTATAAATTATTTCATACAATTTAAAATTATATTTACTTTTTTAAAAATAATTTTAATGAAGAAAAATTTTATCACCAAAAGTAATTATATAAAATATTTTTTATAAAAATAATTTGTTATTGCCAAAAGCGTATCATATAAATTATGTTTTATAAAAATACTTTTAATGGAAATAAATGTTGTTGACAAAAGTATATTATAAAAATTATTTATAATTTTTAAATTATTTTTTTAAAAAAATTTGCTAGAGACAAATATAGCCATCCAAAATAGATTTAATAAATTATTTTTATAAAAATATTTTTAATTGCAACAAATGTTGCCACCAAAAGAGCATTATATAAATTATTTATAATTTTTAAATTATCTTTTAATAAAAATACTTTTAGTGACAAAAAAATGAATTATATAAATTATTTTTTATAGTGACAAATGTTACTACCCAAAAAAGATTACATGAATTATTTTTTAAAAAAATACTTTCATTTATGATAAATGTTGCCACTAAAAGTGTATTATATAAATTATTTATAATTTCAAATTATATTTTTATAAAAATACTTTTAATGGAAATAAATGTTGGCTCCAAAAGTGAATCATATAAATTATTTTTCATAAAAATAGTTACTGTGGCAACAAACATTACTGTCAAAATTGAATTATATAAATTATTTTTTGTAAGTTTTATTATGTTGTTACTGACTCCTTCCGTTTAAAAATAAAAGATATTTTTAACTGAATCTTACTCCAATAAAATAATTATTTATTTTAAACAAACTCTATCTTTTTATATTTACTCATATTAATAAAATAAATAAAGTGATTTATTTAATAGGGGTATTTGTGAAAAAAATAATTATTATACTTTGAAAGACTAAAATATTTTACATTTTTTAACATATAATTATTAAATTATATTTTTGAATGTGGAGAGTAATTACTTGATAATTAAAGAATATAAAATAACTGTACATTTTAGTTGATTTTTTATTTGATTATAATTAAGATGAAAACAAGAGGTGCTAGCGTAATGAGAAAACAAATGCATATTAACAAACTGCAATCTAAGTAAAAGAATAGGCCAGGATATGCAAAGAATAAGTAACTACTTGTCCTTTTAATCGGATCAATATTCACTGTCCCGTCTAATTATGTTAAAAGTTCAATTGTATTTACTAACCACAAGGAATTCTATATAAATTATTAAAACCTTACAGCATAAACACATTTGACTTGACTGAACAATATTAAGTTGTAGTTCTTCTTTAAAATGTACAATAGCATTTTTACCAACCTCAAATGTTGTATGCAACCAGATATTGTTATAGTTAACATCATGTAATTTATTAATTAAATTTAACAAGAAAAAAGTATTCAAATTTATTTATTTTATTTGATCAAAGTTTAAGGGTTTATTTATCTGGAAAGGATTAAATATAACTTCTCAAATTATTGCTTGATTTGACAAAACAGCTAATACTGATTTAATTTGAGGTTATACTAAGAACGTCGTCATGCGGCTCATGCCTTATACATCACACATTGAAAAATAAATATTTCTATTAGTTAATCTGTCAATCCAAATTAGAAGGAATTTGTTCCCCCCCACCCCCCCCACAAAAAAAAAAAATGGAACTTTGTTAAACAATCGATGCTTTTGTCCCCTCTCTTCTTTTAATCAAAATTGTATAACATGTCTTTCCCCCCATTTGTTTTTGGAAAAAAAATGTTGTGTTATTAAATATAAATAGGCATGAGTTCTTATATATTGGCACAAAATATAAAAAAAAAATGTAAAGTATTATCTATAACTAGACTATGAACCCTGTTAGCATAGTAACTGAGGTAAATTGTATTCTTTGAGTATGATTTATGAATATGTTCATTTTAAAATTTATACATTATGTATTGGTTGATTAATAATATAATTTGTTATAAGCTCAAGTGTGTATTGAGATATATATACATATACATATACATATATATATATATAGATATAGATATACATTTCCTCTATTCAAAAATATAAAAAATTTTAATTGAATCTTACTCTTCAATAAAGTAATTATTTCTCTTTAAATTAATATGTTTTCATATTTACCTTTATTTAATAAAATATTTTACTCTGAAATAAATATAAAATAATTTATTTATTAAATTAAAAAAACATAATGATTACACATTAAAATATTAAAAATGTCTTACTATATTTTTAATTATCCAATCTTTAAAAAAAATTATCTTATATTTTTTTTCACCGAAGAAGTATATATACTAATATATTGACATTAAATTGGTAACAGACTGAAAAAGCTAAAGGTGCCACTAAGCTGGGAGATTGGATTTTTTTTAATATGACTAATCTACATTAAATGCAAACATTGTCAAACTGAATTGAAGGTAACTTTTTCAAAAATATTTTATGCACTTACACATACTCAAATTCAAAATCTCATACTGAAACAACTATAACTCCTTTTCACTAGAATCGACAGGTTGAGAGACTGGATTTTAAAGCGCCCCTTCACTGCACAGCTGTTTCATTTTCTTTTAATGGGTTAATATTTACCACTTAATCAAAAAGCACATTGGGAAATTGTCTGAAAAATATATATACACTCAATCATAAATAAAAAACCATCTCTGCCAACCGCATTTTAATTAAGTATAATATACATTTAACACACATCTCATCAAATTCTGTCTAAATCCTTTACCACGGTGATAAAAGCTTCCATGCCTACACGAAAAGGAGAAATTTTTTTGATTTCAATCCTCTAGGATATTATTCAACTTAATTTCAATAATTTATTTCATTATTAGAAAAAAATTAATTTGTACAATTGTTATTGTCATTTCTTACAAATCATTTTCATGTCATTGTTAACTTTCAAGAAAACTGATCCACAAGGGAGAACTGTCCACCAAAAGCATGCTACTCACTTTTTCCTCCAACACCAGTCCAAAGATAAGATGCATTGAGAAAGCAACACAGATATTTTATTGTCCCTTCAAAAATATCAGAAATCGTTACCATAACAAGTACAAAAATCATCGCAATCATTCACATCTGGGCCAAAGACTAGCAACAGTCTGATCTACTCGCTCAAACGACGCAATGTGATGATGCAGACTCAACAACATATGAGGTCAATTCCCTCTTCCCCGCACAACAACAATTCCTTTCAGCCTAGGCTTCTTTCTAACAGACACATCCTTACACTCGCTGCACTGTATTTAAGGGCCACTTGACCATGTCAATTGTAACCTAATATACAAAATCTACAAGAAGTCAGATTATTCATAAGCCATTAACAATGCAACTCATTCTTCAAGCTCCGTGCCATGCACAGGAGTCCCATCTAGTATTGGTTAAAAAAAAAAAAAACTTTGGAGAAACATGTAGCAGAGTACTATATATTTCACAAAATCATGATGTATACAACTGTATAAAAATTACAATTGCAGACAGCGGGATATCACGTAAATAATAATCAATATACAACAGATTTCACTATCTGCTAATATGTAATGAAAATAGATAAAGCGACAACAAGCTATGAAACCTGTGACGAGGCACTCATGTATGTATTTCTTTCATGATTTCATCTTTACTTCTCGGCCTTGCCTGAGAAAATTGCGAGTTAACACAAACAGGCTGGCTATGTGTTAAAACTAGCGCCAAGTTTTACCTTAGTGAGGAATGTACAAAACTTGTGAGAGTAAGCTGATGCTAGCTGGGGGACAAGTTCTCTGGCTTCGGCCATGTATGTATGTCAAAGATGAAACTCCAGGTTTCACCCCACATTGCAAGCATGAGAAACAACTAGTCAAATTTTCAGGATACCTGCACAGGGAGAAGAGACTCTTGCTTGCCTTGGACAAAGAGTGCAAGCTCTGTCGGTGCAACCACCAATCTTAACCACTTTTGTAGCTCTTCACCCTCTACTTTCTCTTTTTCTGAAGAATAAGTATTATTAAAATAACATGATTAATAAGCCCTAACAGAATGATTCAACATCATTGTACAACACAAATGAGAAGCATGCTTTTCACATCCCCTGGTCATCAGGAATCCCATCGCAAGAGCGCCTATATATTGAACAACAATCTAAAGATCAAAACCTGAATCTATAAGAATCTATAACATGTCCTTCTAATTATCCATACCTTGTACACACATATCAACTAATGGTGTGATACCGGACACAAACCGCAAAAGCAAAGGCCATAGATGTTGCAGCAAAGAAAGTGCATCTGGCCCACCACCCCATATACATTCCTTGTTTCTCTCACAAATTATAATGATCCCCACAGCTATGAATTTAAAAATTTTAGCCTAAGATTTCCGAGATAGCATGGTGTTAAAAGAACTCAATAATACACCCAATACCCATTCATTTAAATTAAAGGGATAATGCAACTTTTCGTTCTTAAGCTTTCTGTGAATTGTTGATTTAGTCCTTGACATTTAACTCAATACAACTCAATCCTTCTAGTTTACTACATCGAGGAATTATAAAGATTGGGTTGTACCGAGTGAAAACACTGTAACGACTAAGTTGTTTGGAGTCAAAAAATTATAAAGACTAAGTTGTTTTATTTCAAAGTTAAGGGACTAAATCAACAATTAAGAAAAAGGTCACGGCCTAAAGTTATATTTGTCCTAAATTAAAATATATATTTGTCATTTAATTGTTAGTATCAAGCTTGAACCATGACAAACCAAATACCAATAAATACTTAAAGATTATTACCTTCCAACTGCGCACCAAGACCCTCCAAAACAGTAGGGTTAGCTCGCACAATGGAAAGTGCTACATCCAGAGAAGACTGCAGCAACATTTTCACCTCTCTTTGAACCAGATCAACAAGTTGCCCCTGTTTGTGTTCAGATTGAAATCAGCGTATGAAAGAAATTGAACAAGAGAAAGAAAGAAGTAAATAAACTGCAGGACCTGATCCCTTCCCCAAGGAACTGCTCCTCCAGACTCATCTATACCACCATTAGAAAGAGTCGCTATTGACACAGGGCCTATGGTCTGATTAAGACCATATTCAGCTACTGCCTTGTATGCCATGTCAGTCGCTCGCCTAATGTCATCAAGTGCACCCGTTGACACTCTACCTGAGTAAACAACTTCTTCTGCAGCACGTCCTCCAAGAAGGGTAACCAGACGACCACGCAACTCATCAACGAATAGCAAATATCTATCCTCATTGGTTGGAGGAATATAAGTAAAGCCCAAGGCCCCTCCCGACCTTGGTAAGATGCTTAGTTTCTGATAACAAAAAGATATAAAGTAAGGCGCTGAAAGATCTATAATAAGCAAATAATTAATAATAAGATAAGCAGCTTAACTACAAGCAACTTCAAAGACAGAATTTACCCATGCCACGAGTACACCCAGGCAGCAATAACCAAAAAATCATACACAGTGTTGCAAAGCAGAGAAAATAATACATCATATTTCAAGTGCTCAAACTCATCTACAAAAAAGATAAAGCACGACCCCTGATTACAGTGATCCAAACTCAGTTGCTATTGCTCAGAAGAAAGCCAAAAGCTGAAAGCATTTAGTGACATGGTAAAAACTCCTATCCTTCAAAAAGTCTTGGTTTATAATAACCGAATGTTATGAATATCAATTTTCACATTATTCATAAAACCTAGCTCTTGTTCATGAACTAATTAAAAATAAATAAAAGAATAAAAAATAAATAAAAGATTGTCAAAGGTTGAATAATATAAATCTCTAATTCATCCAACATGGGGCCAAAAATTGTAAGTTATCAGAACAACAGCAAGCACAGGCTCGGTTCTTTTGTGTTGATTCCCAAAAGAGTTAGACACAGCTAAGTACAAGAATGCAAGCACAATATCAATACAAATGACACAACATTTTAGCCAGGAGCCTAGCATCTTCCATGGCTTACCTCAACACGTGGCTGTCCAGGAAGAAGATTTGCAACTGCAGTACCTACAACAGCATGACCAGCTTCATGTCGCGCAACTACAGCCTTCTCACTACCCTGCAATTTGGCAGTCTTCTTCTCTATGCCCTGAAAAAAGTAGGTTGGATTATTTTCTTGACCAGCTTTTTTTAAACTAGTGTCGCATTAATGAAACTCAAAGATTTTCCATATAGCATGTTAGACATAACTCATCCACTATGCAGAAAGAGAAGTCAGACCTAAAATCATTGAGTATGCAACAACTAAATACATGAAGAAACGGTTAAGACTAGTAAATGGAATACTAGTTATATAAAAATCAGCAAAATATTACCTTTTGCCAAACATCCTATGTTAAATAACCTATTCAGTTGTGGAAACAACATTTCCAACTAACCTGAGTCAACTATAAGCCATCTGAACCCGCAGGTGTTATTAATTTATAAAGAATAGCTCCATCATGCAAATAATACTGCCATAACCCGTGATAATCAATTTCAAAGTGAGTTTCACAGACACAGGCAAAAGACAGGCAATAGGAACCCCCTCCCCCCTTTCCCTGTCTCCCCATGTAAAGTTTCACAAATAAGACATGCATCTGATTCCTCAACACTTTGTTAGAATGACTTCATAATCTGACAACAGCACAGATTCTATGGTTGGAATCTCCTCATAACCATTATTTATAATACCTTATAATCTACCATGTAGTTTCCATTGACAATCAAGCTCACAGCTAAATCATTATCCAAGCATGTTAAGCTTGATCTTTCTGAATAACTCTGCTCATTATATATTCCTCTTCACTATTCAATCATCACCATACTGATGTACATGTGTCTTAGAAAGGCAAGCTCTCTGAAGTGGCTACCTCATTTTAACCTCAGATGATGTCATTCAATCCTGGAATGAATTAACTCAAAGAAGCCAAGACATCTATGTTGACCTAAGACGCTTGGCCTTAATGACATTTTCTTTTCAACAGAATCAAATCTGTTAAACTTAAGACGCATTTGGTGCATAGAATGGAATGAAATTAAAAAAAGGTGATTTTGTAAACAAGAATTGTCTCGTGCCTCTGGTTAAAAAGTAATAAAATGATTCTGGCTTGAATAACAAACGTAACTTACAGCTATTGATCTCTCCACAGCTTGAATAAAATCAATTTTCTCCACAACAATTTTGTTTTGTCTTCCAGCCAGCAGGGCAGCTTCATTTACAAGGTTTGCAAGATCCGCCCTGTAATGATGCATGAAATAATTCAGATTAAAATTTCAACTTTAGCATATTCAAAGTGAAATGGGAATGACAAGGAAAGCAATGCATTTACCCAGTGAAACCAGTGGTCATAGCAGCAATGTCACTGAGATCGATATCTTTGGCTAAAGGAAGTTCTTTCTTGGTAACATGAACTTTTAAGATGGATTCTCTTCCATTCCTATCAGGAGTTTCCACCTAAAAAAATATGGGGAAATAAATGAGGCACTTGTTGTTCTAACAATATGTGGAGCCATGACCTATTTCAATAATGAAAACCACATGGGATTTTGAAACTAGAACACAAACCATAACAACACGATCAAATCTTCCTGGTCGACGAAGTGCAGCATCTAAAACATCGGCACGATTAGTTGCGCCAAGAACAATAACGGCAGAGTTGCTATCAAACCCATCCATCTCCTGTCAAGTAATTTTAGGATATTTTCCTCAATGTGACAAATAACTTCACAATCAGAAAATAAGAAATTATGTCAAAGGGATGCTAACAGTGAGCAACTGATTTAAGGTTTGCTCTCGTTCATCATTGCTAACAATACGAAATTTGCCATCACGACTTTTAGCCACAGCATCTATCTGTATACCAAAACAAACTCTGATTGATTAAGTACTGATAAGTAGTTGTTGAACTCAACCATCCCAATAAACAAGGCAATGCATATTCTTACCTCATCAATAAATATTATGGATGGAGCCTCCTTTTTTGCCCGTGCAAATAGGTCTCTCACACGGGAGGCACCCATGCCAACATATAACTCCACAAACTCACTAGCAGAACAACTTATAAATGGCACATCAGCTTCCCCAGCCACAGCCTTAGCTAGTAGAGTCTTGCCTGTTCCAGGAAGACCCACCAGGAGAACACCCCGAGGAGGACGAGCACCAAGTCGAATATATCTATCAGGATTTCGAAGAAATTCCTGGCATTTGCATGAGTAAATTTCTGTGTTAAGTCTCAAAAACAGCCTACAGATTGAAAGTGCACAATATGAGCTGAAGAGAGTCCAGCCTACCACAATCTCTTCTAACTCTTCCTTGGCTTCATCAACACCAGCAACATCAGCAAAAGTGATAATTTCGCCTTGATCAGATGACTTTGCACCAGTAGAGGTACCTGGTTTCCGGTTCCTAATCTGACCAGCTGTATGCTGTACACAACATATAAACACTCAGGAAAATGTTGCAATTAACCATCCAGAAAGAGGGATTGGATGCCAAGAAGATAATGTAGCAAGCAATCTACCACCTGAGAAAAGCTCACAGGGAATCGGTGCAGAAGCCCAGCAAGCACAGCAACATAGAACAAGGCTATCTGTGTATATGTCATGATAATTTAGTCAGCATAACACACTATATGAAGTATTAAAGGAAATAAAGATGATAGTGAAAATGTGATATAGCAAATATATAAATACAGGCTCCTTATTCATTCTGCAATCTAATTCTATACAGTCATAGTAAAAAGTAACCAGATATCAATCTCCACGATGGAATAGTTAGCAGTAGTGAAAAAGGAGTTGGTTTTATACGGACAGATCTACCTCATGAAGTCAAGATTCAAAATGAATATTCTGTTAAACAGCATCAAAACCTTCCGATTTTTTTTTTTTTTTGGGTTTGGAGTCTTTATTGTACAAAAAATACAGCATCTAATTCTCAGCTTTTTATAATTGTCCCAGCATCAAACTCCTCATACTCTACGTAAATTCAGATATATTAGTTAAATGCAGGTATAAATTACTTCCAGAGTTCAGACCATTAGAAACTAACATTTCTGATTACTCCAACATTAATCTCAACGCCTGTGGTTAACTCTATATAAGGACAAGATGCTTCTCAAGTCTCAAATGCAGCTTCCTTACCAAAGCAGAGTTAAAGAAACCACCAGAACGTTTATCCGGTGACCCAAACTCCACCTCATTTTCCAACATCTTTTCGTACGGAGTTTTTATATCACTTGGCCTTGTTGTTGTGTAAATTATCCTTTTCGTTGGAGCAACACTCTTAATCAACGATTCTGACTCTTGCAACTTACTTGTCCCCGCAGCTTCACTATCCTGAACGCTTCCTAAATCAGACTTCAATTTAAACATGATATGGACCCCATCAACCTCCACCTTCTGTACTTGATTACTGTTGATTTTACTCAAGAAATCGCTGTATGGAACGCTAACAAACGTAGTGGGAGTCCTCGGCTCAGACCCAGGTAATGGAACCCCAGGGCGAAGTAAACGCATAACGAAAATCACAATCCCCAATTGCAAAAGCAAAACTCCAATTTCCTGAGCCTGAACTATAGGCTGCCATCTCCACTTCCCTCCCTTAGAATTCCACCACCACCCACCTCTCCCATGTTTCTCCCTCCTCCGATTCGAACCGGAAGTCGGCGAATTCTTGACCCCTTGACCCTCACTGGCTTTCGCTGCTTCACTCTTCTCACCGGAACCCGAACCCGCGGCCGTCGAATCGCTTTCTTGACCATTAGCTCTAACGCTACAACAACCCTTTCTGAGTCCGCAGTTCCTCACAAAACCTACCCACAAATTTAACCTATCCGAATTCCGAGACAAATTAACTTGCTTGTAAGCTCTATTTGTCGGAACAGCCAAGGAATTCACAACGGAATAGCTCGAATTCTTGCAAAATACCCTCGATTTCTGGAGGGAAAAGCCCCATCCTTGCCAATGATAGAAATTCGAATTTGAATTTAGATAGAATTTGCTATAAGTTAACGGTGAAAGATACTCCAACGCTGACATTCCGGATGACCCAGAAATATGAAAAATCAAAACTTGAGGGCGTTCGTATCTTCGTAAAGATACATACAGGCGAGCTTCAGGGATATGATTTCAGAGACCAATGGTGCTAAAATCGGAAGACGACGAAACACACATGGAGAGCAAGACAAGGTGATCCGACAAGTGAAGAAGCCGTTCGATTACAGAGAATTGAAAGATCTGTACCGTCCACTTTACATGTCGAGCACATAGCGTCTTGGTTGAGGGGATTTTTTTATTTCGGGATTTTTAACTTCAGTGCCGAACGGGAGAGGATTCTGTGTGCTGCGTCCCACTGAATGCGAAAATCTAAGTCATTCCAGAAAGTGCACGTGTCGAGTAATGAGAGGAACGGAAGAGATCTCCTAATGATTTTGCCGCAATTTCGCGTGCAAATTAGAATCACACGTTTAGCAGAGCGTGAGGGCCACATGCTTTGTTCTGAAGTGAAGCCAATCAAGCACAGCCCAAGGACTTGTTCTTGGTGTTCAATTCAACGTCAATTGTATAAAATTTTTATTTTTTTATATTTTCAGCATATTTCTCCCCTATTCGATTACATAGGGTTAATTTCAAATTGTTTATATTATAAGTTTCATTTGATTCTTATAATATTGGTTGAGAACTGACATTTTTGGTTTAAAGAAAAAGTACTTACATAAGCTCAAGAAAAAAAAAAAAACCACTCATACACACACAACTCCCAATACAAAAAGATGCAAACTATAATATAAAGATTAAAGCCTTGTTTAGTATGATATAAAAATTTTTGATAAAATTAAATTAAAATTGAAATCAGAATTGAAAATAAAAATGAAATAGAATTGGGTTATAAAAATTTGTTTGGTTTACAAATGGAATTCATGTATTATTTATTATTTAGTATGCATATTTATAAATTAAATGACTAAAAAAGTATTCATTGCCAAGTTTTTTTTTTTAGACTCCACCCTCTGTTCAAGCCATGTCTCAGGACCAAAACTCCACCATCCCCGATCATCTTCATGAAGCCTTATAAGATCTCAACATCGTTGTAAAGTCTCAGCCTTTGCTCTAACAACAGTGGCATCACAAGTAAGACAGAAAAAGCCAAAAATAACTCATCAAGAGGGCTAGCGATTCGTCATCTTGCAAAGTATGGCGGACTTAAGCAAATCAGGTGGTCAGTGGAAGACTATTGCCACCATGAACATTGTGCTCAATCTTCGCTGAAACAGAGGTAGAGAAGCTCAAACCTAAAAGACCCTGATATGTCGCTAATGAAGATCAAAACCAAGGTCAAGGAATATCAGGACTAGGTAGTAGTGGAACAAAGAAATTGAACCAAACTATAGCAAATAACAATATCAAACTTAGAGAAGCTTTTTGTGTTGTTGCCAATGAAGGTTTGTCAAAAACTTGAGGTTGAAGGTCTATGGTGATGATGTTGATATTGAAGGGGGCAAAATGGGATTCCATGAAAAAGAATCCGATTTTTTAGGAGTGAGTAGGGAATCTGATTCCAAGGATTTTGGCAGAATCAAGATTCTTAAGAATCCTAAATATGTCACACCAAACAAGTATAGACCAGGGTTTCATGTTTGATTACATTTCTTTACTCTCAATTCTTAAATACCAAACGAAGCCAAAGTTCTAGTTAGGAAATGGATCAAATTCATATTATAATTTTAATTGTTTCTCCTTTCAAAATATGGTGGAGCTTGATTTTGAGAGTGAACTTCATTATTAACTATTCATATCTTTTAACGGACCAATGATCACCCCCAAGTGCTTTCATGTATTTTTTTGATGCGAAACAAACGCAAATCAAATAATTATCATTTCTCATGCATTCTACCATTTCTTCTTTAATTGTAGAGGAGTTGATTGTAAAAATCTAGAAGGTTATGACCCAGTATGTTAATTTCATAATCTTAAAAGCAAGAGATATTAAATTTTAATTACACCTACATAGACGCAAACTTTTTTTTTTACAATGACTCGTGCGTTTATGATATATATATTTTGATATTTTCTTTGACACAAACTTCACAAATAAGCTGGTCAAAAGAATAGACTTCACAGATATCTTTGGGCCAGATAAAAGAAAAGTCATGAATCATGTCGTTTGCAAGTGTCGCCATGTAATATCCTTTAGATCTAAGAGAAATTTCTTAGATGTTAAAGATTTCTTTCTCCCCACCTTCAATGGACGTCCAAGATATTTCATGCGTAATATAAATCTTTTAATTAATCTATTATCTAGTAATGTTTAAAAATAAGAAACGATTTATTCAAAATTTTAAAAAATAACATTCAAATAATTTTCCCCCTTCTCTTCAAGCATATATTTCTCCATTTCTCATATACCCACTCCAGAGTGTTCAATCCTAGGTGGTATGGCTTCTTTGGGGCCTTATATATATTCTATGAATTGTTTGGAGGCGTGTTCTTTTACGCACGCACAAATGATATGGCTTGGTCCAAAAAAAAAACATACAATTTTTTTGAATGAAGAAAGTGAATTCAAAAACCATACACAATTTATATGATACAAATTTTTAGTTTGGATAGTTTCAATTAGATTTAGATGGCTTAACTTTTCTAAAATAGAAAATAATATAATAATGATGCTTACGAGCATAATGAAAATGTAATGCCAAATATTTATATTAGTTTTACATTTGATTGACCTATATCCTATCTTAATCCTTTTTTCTGAACCCTAAGAAAATGTGGCCCCTCTCGACCCATCATCTTCAAAAAGTAATTAAAAAAAAATTCATAGCAAAACTCCTAAATTTGTGGATCCTATGAAATTTTCAGCCAAACAAAAAGTTTTCTTAAAAAGGACGAACTAAACACTTCATGATTCTACGGTTAACCATATGTTGAGGGAAAGATCAAATAATTTCCTACTGCTTACCAGGATTTGGAGGCTGGTTGACCCTTTTTCTCTTATTTCATTTGTTGGTTTTGCTTCTTTTCACTTTTTTGATGGATTCCTATGAAAAGATGAAGATATTTGGGTCAACACTATAATTTATTCATCACCTTCATCAACACTTCCATTTACTCATTTCAAATTCAATAGCTTCTGATCAAAACCCCACCTCTATTTCTGCTCCCTCTTTTTCTAAATATATATTTCCATGGCAGAAAACCAGAGTTTCTCCATAAATTTTATCAATGGACCTCCATAGCAAACATGTCAGTACCCCTCGATTATTACCACGATGACCATAATTACATGTTTTCAAATGATTAGAGGCCTAAGTTTCCCCCAATATAGTTCTCCATCGTTGTATGAGTATTAACTCAAAGAAACAGAGATGGGTTTGAATGCCAAAGAAATCATAGTTTATTTCTTGAGAATGATTCAGGTCTCAATTGAGGCTAGCTTTACATTCATCAGAAGACACCCGTTAATTTCTGGTGTTTTATTAATCTTGTGCATCCTATATTTATTCCTCTCTTACATTTATCACTTCCTAGTGTATTTGTCCCCATTTCTGGTCTGTACAGCCATTTTTGTAAGAATCTTTTGGAGTTCTGAGGAAGGCCTTCTCAGTTATGTCAAAAAGGATGAGAAGAAAGGAAAGTCGAAAGAAATTGAAAAGCAACTTCATAAATTACCTGGTTATGAGAAATGTGACATGCTTCTCGAAAGAAACTATTTGCCTAGAAATGCTACGAGCAGAAGGCGAAATTTCACAGATAAGAAATGGGATGTGCAAGATGTTGTTCTAGAAGCACAAGGCAAGGAATCATCAACAATACAAAGTTACGATTCCGAGAAGAAATATGCTAAATCTAGTGAGAATGAAGAGAATTCCTCCAATTTTGCAGAAAAATTGCAGGACACGAATGCACAAATTTCGCCCTTACAATCTGAAACTTTGATTAGTGAGCGAGTTATAGCTTATAATTCTGATCAACTAAATAACAAATCAGATGGTTGTAGAGACAGACTTACGTTTGAGAAAGAAGAAAGTTCTTCCGATCATGCAGGAAAATCCCAGAATACCTATGCACAAGTCTCGCCCTTGGAATTCGAGTCTTTAATTAGTGATCAAGTTAAAACATCTGATTCAAATCAACAAAATAACAAATCAGATGTTTGTAGTGGCAGGCCTGCGTTCGAGAGAGAAGACATGGAGGAAAGAAACAAAGAGGAGGAGGAGGAAGGAGTAGGAGAGGGAGAAGAATCGCAAGATGAAGAAGAATTGCAAGAGGAAATGAACAAACCAGTGGAATGGTCGAAGGATGATCGAAAAAACTTGATGGATCTAGGTATTTTAGAGATTGAGAGAAACCGAAGGCTGGAGAGTCTGATAGCGAGAAGAAGAGCAAGACAACAAATGAAGATACAGATGGAGCAAAGTCTGACCGATTTAAGAACTTCTCCGAGCCGGATGGCTCCTCTAAACATCACAAGAATGGACCCATTAAACTCACCAAGGAATTATGGAGGGATTGAAGGATTAGAGATACCTGGGTCAGCTCCGTCGGCTCTACGACCCTCACGAAACCCTTTTGATCTTCCATACGATGCTTCAGAAGAGAAACCAAATCTCACAGGAGATAGCTTCCACCAAGAATTCATATCGAAGGACATGACATTTTGTAGACACGAAAGCTTCAGTTATGGGGCAGCTTCTTTACAATTTGATGAAGAGTCATACCCTTTCTTCATCAACGGAAGGAGGTTTTCAGACAGGTTCAAAAGACTTCCTGGTACAATAACTCTAAAAAATGAGCTGTAGTTTATGATTCATAAATAGGACAGTTTATTAGAGTTTTTATATTATACATAATGATTGAATTAAATGCAAACTTTGTACATTATGTATTCGGGTTAAAAAAAATTATGTAAATTAGGTGTGTTTCACTCTTGCAGACAAGGGAAACCATGACCTGATAATAGAAAAATTGTTCTCCAAAAGCAATGATGCTGGTGCTGGTGTCAGTACTGGAGTTAAAGCTCCCAAACCCCTGTTAGTCAAATTTGAAACAACAGACCAAGAGAACGCTAAAAGCAAAACTGATATATTTGGCCTGAGATGGAAGAAACTGGTGAATGCTCAAGTACAAAAATCCTTCTCAGATGTCAAAGTTGAGTCAGGCTTCGTGGAAAATAACAACCATGGGTTTGTTGAAATCGATCACAATGTCTCAAATAATGGCAGTTTTGGAGTTTTAGAGAAGCCAGAAGAATCAAAAACTCATCATAAGCCTATTAATAAGAAGTTCCTAAACTTCCCCATAGCTACTGGTACTGCTATTTGTGAGGCACCACTTAACTCACTTTCATATCCAACCAGTAAGAACCAGGAGGACATGCCTTTCCCAGATAGATGCATCTTTCATGAGCCAACATGTTCAATTGCTTCTGACTTACAAGTGGAGTTCTCAGAGATAGGATCGCCAACAACACTCACAATAGATGGAGAATCTGTGTTGTTTGATGGGGACATTGATAAAGAGACTGTTCTTTCTCCTAAGAGTGATGATTTAGGGCCAATCTCTATCAATTTAAGAGCTGGTGATAAGGATATTGCAGAGGTGAGCAATAACAGCCCAAAGAGCAGTTCCATCTATTTGTTGCAAAAAGTAGAAGATGTTATAGATGTGAGTTCACTCTCCTCAACATCTGACTTTTATGGGGACAGTCCAACTCTTGGGAAAATCAATTATGATTACAACTTTTTCAGTGATATAAGAAAAGATAAGGCTGAAACTCAAGTAACACATCCTTCAGATTTTCTTATTGGTAGGTCTGTGGATCATCTATCTCGTGAAACACAATTTGAAAGGAGAGAGGTAAGTCACTGTTGTGACAAAGTGAATTTTACGCCAAATTAATGTTAACCGTTATCTATCATTTATTTACTGCACTGTTTGGTTTGAAACTAAACTACCATTTGATCTGGCTTAGAAGACAAGAAGCATAAGTTTTCATTTTTTATAAATATTACTGCTCAACAGGTTAGGCAAAGCCTTTCAAGAAATTCAGAAACTGAAGCACAAATTGTGGATCATCATGTGAGTTCACCCTCCTCAACATCTGATTCTCATGGGGACACTCCAACTCATGAAAAAATCAATTATGATTATAATGTTTTCAGTGATATGAAAAACAATGAGGTGGAAACTCATGCAACACAGACTCCAAATTCTTCAAATTTACTTATTAGTAGGTTTGTGGATTATCCACCTCATGAATCACAAGCAGAAAAGCCAGAGGTAAGTCATTAGGGTGACATTAAGTTTAGGCCAATTGTAGAGTGAATTATAGTTTACCCTTTACTAATTTAGTGCACTACAGTTTATAAAAATTTTGCTTCTCAACAGGAAAGGCAAAACCTTTCAGAGAATTCAAAAATTGAAGTACAAGTTCTGGATCATCATGTGAATGATTTATCAGCCACTGACACAGAGAACTCAAATAGAAATGAAGATCTAGGGCCACCAGTTGTGCATCAACATCACGAATCAATCGACGCTGTGTCTATAAACACACTTTCATCCCTTTCACTAAGATCTTTGTCCCCTGAGAAGACCTTTGTGGATCATGTTTCTTTATCTTCTTGTAATCAACATATTAGCACAGAGGTTCCATTATTGAATATAGAAGACATGGCACGAGAACCTCCAAATAGTAAACTTCATTCCAACATTATACCTCCTATTATGCAGCCTCTGTCTATTGATCCAATTACCCAAACACATACTAGTGTGTCCTGTGATTTTCAGGTTTGACTTGTCATAGAAAATTATGGTTTTTTTCTATTCTCATAAATTTACAAATCATTGACATATTACTACTTCAATATAATTGCAAGACAAGATGGAAAATTAATAACTATACCTAATGGACAGGAACCATCTTGCCCATCAACAGCGACCGATGATTACAACAGCCCAAGAAAATCGGGCAAATTAGTCTATGACGATGAGGATAGGAAGGAGAATGACTTGTTAATCATGTCCAAAAGCATGGTATAATATAGTTAATGTCTTATGAACTGTCATTCTTCCCATATCATTTTCATCTTGGTTGAGTTCATCTAATGAAATTTTTTATATTTGGCGCATTCACCAAAATAAGAGAGAGAGAAGGAGATCACATCTTTTTGATCAATCATATAACCTAACCTAGTTTCCCTCTAAGAACAATAACAGAAAAGCTTGATGATCTAACTTGCCCTTTTTTTCAATTGACTAGGAGCTTGCCGATCCTTATGAGAATCTCGTGGATGAAAAAATCTCTGGCAAGAAGAATGATGCAGGACAGGAGAAGTTTAAGAATGGTGAGAGTAGTGAAGACAAATCAGCATCGGTACTTAGACAAGATGATTCTATACAATCCCTTACTTCAGATCAAATGAAAGCTATGGAGGAAATCAACAATAAATTAGTAGTTGATAATGATGAAGTAACATCGAGTTCTTCAAAAGTAAATGAGAATATTGGTATTCCAACAACCATAGGTAGTGTCCAAATGGATGTAAAGTTAGCTCAACTTGCAGATGCTGACCTACCAAAGCCAAAAAAGCCAACTTTCAATTTAGAAGAAGTTTGCAATATGCATAGTGAATCAAAGAAGGGTCACAATGAGGAGGGAATAAAAGGGAAATTGAAGAATGAAATTCCACAAAAGCCAAGCATGTTGAATGATAGCTCAGAAGAAGAAAGGAATGAGCAAAGTGAGTCAATGAAGAATGATGCAAAAATCAAAGAGAAATTAAAAAATGACACCCCAACAAAGCTAGATGAGACAAATGATAGCTCAGAAGAAGTGCATGAATCACAAAGTGAGTCTAAGAAGAATGATCTAAAAAACAGTAACAAGGAAGAAATCAAAGAGGAGTTGAAGAATGACACCCCAACAAAGCTAGATAAGACAAATCAGAACTTGGAAGGAGTGAGTGAAATGCCAAGTGCGTATGAGAAGAATGATCTAGAAACCAACAACAAGGAAGGAATCAAAGAGCAGCTCAACCATGACACCCCAACGAAGACAAATAAACCAAATGATAGCTTTGAAGAAGTGAGTAAAGCACAAAGTGAGCTAAAGAAGAATGATCCATACATGGGCAACAAGGAAGAAATCAACGAGAATTCAGGCAATGTGATAACTTAGGAGAAGTGAGTAAAGTACAAAGTGAGCCAGAGAAGAATAATTCAGAAATGAGCAATGTGGAAGAAATCAGAAAAATGTTAAATAATAACACGCCAACAAAGCCAGATGAGCTCAATGATAGCTTCGAAGAAGTTAGTGATGTGCAAAGCAAGAAAAAGACCAGTGAAGAAATCAACAATAAGGAAGACGTCAAAGAGAGTTGTATATTATTCTATTACTAGTCACACCAGGCTCATATCCCCCACATAAAATGTAAGATGCAAATAATAACACAAGAGTTCCTTGTAGGTGTCAGATTCCTCTTATTTGTAAATGATCTTCACCATTTCCCATGAGTTTCTTGTTTTCCATTTTATGAATGTAAAATGATCAATGAAAAGACCATTCAGGTTTTCTTAATTTTCTTCTCTCTCTTTATAGCACAAGAGATTTTGGTAGACCAAAGAACATAATCAGCTATACCATTTGTCCCGTATTCTCCAGCTTTTACACATATATCTTCTTGGAATTAATTTTCCTTCTAGTCCATGTCAAAGATGTATACTGCTGAATATACTCTCCTGCCAATCTTTCCATGATGAAGATGAAAGTTGACACTGTCAGAAACAAAAACTTCTGAAATTTGATTGTCCATGTGACGAAAGAATGACTAGTTTCAAAACAAATTGTTTTACAATATCTATTTAAAAAAATAAAACGTGTGAAAAAAAATCACATCTACTCTAAGAGCATTAAATTTCTAAGAGATATGCAGTTGCTCGTTTATTTGCTGTTGTTAAAGCTATGGAGACTATCTCATTTTTAAAAATGGTAAATTCAAGCCTATTATCAGACTTCTCCTTCTCTTCAATCTTATTTCATCTTGGAATGATGAAAAATTGGTTTCCTGTAGCTTAGGGAAACAGAAACATAGGTATAAATTGAATATAAAAATTCACTGCTGAATAAAATCTGAGGCCAATCTGAACAAAAATTAAAATGGAAATTGCCTTCAGGATTACAAAAATCAGAATACAAACAGATCCTTCTATAGACTCTGGAGAGAAGCTATTTAACTTCAAATTTTGCATCAAGTGTTTCTTTGGATAAAATATAGTGTCCATAATGCTCTCATGCTACCATATGCTGTTACATATTTCATAGTTGTCATGCTCTCCTGCATAAATTCTGCTAATGGTTTGCTCTTACCATCACCTTCGAAAATAAGTATCAAGTTACTAGTCATTTTCTTTCATTTTTCTGGGGCAAAATCATGTTGATACGCCTAATCATTGCCCTAAGAACAATGTTTCCACATTCATGGTCAGAATATGAGGCACAGTTACATAAGGAAGTTTTCAAGAACTCAGTTAGTTAATCCTCCGTGCATGATATTAAAGAGAAGATGAAGTTTCATAATAAGTGCCTGTTTCAGTTTTCTATTCCTAGCAAACCTGACAAGATCTCATGTTGTTATCTTGAAAATACATCCTTTAGTATTGCTTCTCTTTGTTCACAGATGCCTAAAATCATGAACCTCGTTCTATGTTATTCTTGTTCATCCCATACCAGAGGATATGAACCTTCTTTAATTCATTCTCTGTCAATTTTTCATTTAAAAAAAAAAACACCATTATCTCATTGCTTGCAACTGAAGGGGAAAAATTTTTTTGACTTCAAGCAAATTGTCAGACTTCTTATGTATGCCTAGTACAAAAATTAATCAGTTGACCAATTAGACTTGTTATTCTAATGTTTATATGTATATTCAAATGAATTTAGCACATTAACTTTTCATAAATCATGACTAAGTCTAAGTCAAAACTTTGGATGGACACTATAGGTCCTTTCTGGAAGTTCAAGAGAAACGGAACAGGGCAAGGATTTCATCATCAGAAATGTTATCATGCAAAATATAATTCTTTCCATTCCAAATTTTTTTATCATTTCGCGTTTTCATGTTCATGGACTTTCACTATTAGTTCTAAAAACAAAAACAAAAGAAATTGTGACTTCAAGAAATTGGTGGTAGCCATCAGCAGAAGTTTTGATGGAAATAAGAATAAAGTGGGCAAAATACTTTAAATTCCACCTTGTTAAAAAGCATTACCTTTTCAAAAAGATGGTGGTTGGTCTTGTCATGTCCTGTGTGAGAAAGCTAGTTTGTAGGACCAAAACCATTTGGTTTTAAGGCCATACTTTTTTTTTCACTTATGATTTATTTATCAGTCTCATAAGATCCTTTTTCTTAGACCAAAAATAAAATATTGACATTGATGTTTTACTAAGTCTTTCAGCCAAATTGCTAAAAAAAGTGGAAAAGAAGAATGGATGATCAAATTTAAATAGGTCAAGCAATACTCGATAATGACTCAAACTTTGATATAATATCTCATGAATAATTCATCAGAAAGTGGTCACGAAAGGAGTGATTATACTTTTTAAAAGGTTCAACTTTTTGTCACACGCAAATAATATAATTTTTTCCCCTGTTGATGCATCATGGTGTATCTAAATTAAATGAGCAAAACAAACAGGAGTAAGAAAAACAACATGAGAACACTGTTTATCACATTCCATAAATCCAATTCGTACTATACCCTTTTTTTTTTATTAATCCATATTATCACCTTATTAGAGCATATCATGTTAAAAAAAAAATCTAGGAAGTTAACACAGATTTGGTCAAAATAATAACCTCGTTATAACAAAGAGATCAAAGCCTTGGTCAATTAATCAATCATTGCTGTTTCTTCAACGTTGTAATTGATTAACTTATGGAGATTCTTTTCAAAGGCAAAAAAAAAAGGGCTTAGAGCTTGTCTTTGTGCAAGTGAATGAGACAAACACAGGAAAAACGAAAACAGGAGTGAAAAGCAGAGAGATTATTGATTAGAATTATTTGCCACTTTATTGAAATTATTTTAATAATTTTTTTAAAAAAATGATAATTAATAGATGGACTATAGGTTGATGCATATTGGATTTAAGACAATAGGTTGACTAGATTATTAAATTAATTAATATCCTCAATTAATATTGAAATCAACCATGACATATTCAAACAATCATTCAAGCCATCATCTTGTACGAAATCAATAATGTAGACATTTTACTATTTAATTATAACAAGAAGAAATTAATTATGAATGTATAAATGATGGAGTAGCTTAAAAAGTATTACACTCCATCAGTCTCAAATTATAATGCACTTTCAAAAAAAATTTTATTTTAAAATATAAGACATTTTGAGTATATTAATGTTTCATTAAATACACTAATTTTAAATTTACTCTTTCTCTCTTTATAATTAATTTTCATATTTTTTCTTTTTAATATATTAAATGATGGGTATTTTTGAAAGTTTATATTTTTATTTAAAAAAAAGATTATTAAGTGTATTTAATGAGGTTTATTGATAAATGTAATTTTATTTAAAAGTGTCTTATAATTTAAAATGAATGAAATATTAATTAACAATACAACTAGTCAATAAAAGTGAATAATAATGGCCTCACAATTGATTCTCGCTTCTTTGCTATTGGACCAAAAGGACCTCAAGCTCCACAAAAACATAATTCTCGGTGCCTTGGTGGGAGTGTGAGATTCTTCTTTGCTTTCAAAGAAAAGCAATGTGAGGCCAAAGAATTTTCAATCTTTGCCCAAAGAGAGAATCTCAAAACCCCCTTTTCAAGATATATAAAATCAGAAGGCACAATAAAAAAATCTAATTAATACACAGTACTCTATAAGAATGTGAATTTAAATATTACTTGCGTGGGAATATGAGAATGATGTCGATGAATATAATGTATTGATGTATGCGTGAATAACTTTATGGGGCTTTTGTCCTCCAAAAAAAAAAAACTTATGATGTATGTTCTAAGTTATTTCTATCAATCTCATTAATATCAGTATAATAAAAATACAAGAAATAAAAGTAAATGAAATTTTAAATATAACCTTCAAGTAAAAATAAAAATGAGTCAATCATATAATATTATATTTTCTGTTTTTCTCTCTTTTACTTTTTAAGAGTAATTTAAATATTTTAATTTAAAAAATAATAATCACATCAATAAATAACTTATAAAGTGAATTAGAATATGTTTTTAGAAAGTAATTTATATACTGGAGCGGAGGAGTATATATAAATCATGTTGTAACATCCATAAACCACATACTGAATTTACTAAAACTTTACAGCAAGAGAGCAAACACAAAAATCACAAGAATCGGATCTGCTTGATAAAAAGCTACGTACAAGGACGGCTTTTCACTGCCTCCGTAAGTGGCACCAAGGATTTCTAGCAATGAAGAACGGCAGTACCTGCCCAAAAATTTTAAAATAAGTACATGTTAATTGGATCTGGTCTGGTTCTCTTCCGTACACTTAGAATCACATTACAATGTAGACATATACACATCAACTCTAAGGTGAAATGTAAAAGACTTTTCGGTTTTTAATATGAAATAATGTCATGGTGGATAGTATTTTTTTCTAACTTTAAGTTTATTTATTATCGAGTAAAATTAAAAATTTATATATTTTTAAAAATTTTTAATAATTTTAAGGACATACTACCTCTATCCTTAAATATAAGGAATGTTATAGTATTTTTGAATAATTAGACAGGTTTGCATTTGTCTTGAAAAGAAAATATTAATTGTATATTTCACTCATCATGGTAGTATTAATTGTGACATTAAGAACAACATTGAAAAATTATTGTGGTTTCATGTGCTTTTAACTAAATAACAAATTTTATTAGTATGCAAAATTTGATTAAAGGGACATTATACTTCCTCCATCCCAAATGAAAGACACTTTCAGAGGAGATTTGTCATTCCTTAATATAAAACACTTTAAAAAAATTAAAATTTTATTAAATATACTTATTTCAATAATAATTTTTTCTCTCTATTTAATACTAATTAAGTGTATATTTAAAGTTATTAAGTGAATAATTTTTTAAAAGTTTATATTTTTATTTTAAAAAATAAAATTGATAAATATATTTAAGGTTAACTAACATGTAAAATTTTATTTAAAAATATTTTGTAATTTAAACGGAATGGAGTGTATAGAAACAAAAAGGTAGTTCTCATTTCTCAATAAATGCCAAGTAAATTAAATTTACTATCTTATATTAAAGAGTGGAGAGAAAGAGTGTGTGCCAGTACTTTATCTCATCTTATTTATAAAGTAAAGGAAAAATATTTTTTATCTTGCGTATAAAATATGATATCAATTTTCATCACGAGTTTTTCCTTTGTACCCCTCATTAAATATTGGTTAAAAAAAGTAAATTATTAAAATGTGTATTTAATATAAACAAATTGAAAAAATTATTAATATTTTTAGAAAAGTTAATAAATTTTTAAGATTTTTTTTATTGTAGTGAAACATCTTGAATGTGACTGGTGAATAAAAAAGATGAGTACATGTGATATACTGTGTGGATTTTCTAGACCAGTGGGGTGCAATGAATTGATTGGAGATCCAACTTTAAGAATAGGAAAAACTTATATACTATATTTACTCTTATATATTTAATGTATTTATTTTTAATTAAATTAAGATATGTGAAAATTTTATAAGTTATTTATTTTATAGTAAGTTTTTGTTATTAATTTTATTAACATGTACTTATCATAATTTAATTGGATAGAATTATATTAAGTATATGGAACTAGATAGACAAGTCTTGCTTCAAGAATATATTAGCCATCCAATCCCCACACGAACCCTTATTTTATTGTTAATTAAACATTAATCAATCTTCCTGGGGAAGGATCTTCCTCGTCTCAAGAGAATCACTTAGAAAGATCTGATTGATCACTTGAGAGAAAGAGAAATTGAATTGGTGGATGCAGAATCAGCAGCTACTGACTGTTGAGGTCAAACAAAACGTCTAGTTATTCTTAATTACGATGTTACACTAATTAGTGTGAGACATGATACGATACCATGGAAAGGCCGGAAGTAGGTTCATTGGATCCTACATATACTACGATGTACCTAAATTTGAGTGCTCACTGACTCAGAATTTTATATGATATTTTCTAAATAAATTATTTTTATGGCAGGGAAAATTTATTATTATTTTTTTACCGTGATAACGATGATTAAATTGAAATTAATCTTCAACGTGAGAATTTTTTCTGAAAGTTATTTATCTTTAATATTATAATAACAACAGTAATAAAATGAGTTCTGGCTGAGGTTGTTTTGCACAGAATATGTTTTTTTTTTTTTCAACATTTTGGATTCAACCAATTTTCATATTTGATATTGCCCAATTCTTAAGTTTTATGAATTTACTATCTCACCTTAATAAAAATACCAAGTCCCATTATATATTGACACATTTTAATGGTGGGATTATAGTAATACGTTTTTTAATCTTATTTCATTTCACCAATCTCATTAATTAAATCCTTGATGTCCTAACAAATCACATCCTTGTGGTTTGGAAAAGTTACACAACCACACTTTAAATTTTAAAATAATTTAACAACTATCGTTGGAGTAGACTTTAATTTCAGCTTTCGTTTGCCTCAGTTACTTTATAAGTCGTATTATACAAATAATAATAATTCTTCTTTCCTACACTTTTCAGCTCATGATTGAACACACTAGCGTTAGTGCTACCTTTCCTTTGTCACTTAACATCACAAAAGCCTTGTCTTTCAACGTCCATGGCTAGCTCCTGAAAGTTATATCTCTCTAATGGAAACCACTGTTTACACTCTCATTATTGATCTTTAATAGCCCTCAATTATTATTAAAAAATTAGATAATTAAACTTACATGCTTAAAGTACATGTATATTTGTGTTCATGATTATCATGTAATTAACCCTCATTATTAACATATTTTATTTTTTAAAAAAAGTTTAAATTTCACTTGTTCCACTTTGAAAAAAATAGTATTTCCTAATTATCACTATCATCAATATAATTTGTGCGTCACTTGAAAAAAAATGTCCCCTCGTCAAAAATCCATTTTAAAAATCTGATAACAAATCTGAGGTGAAAACAATGATGGCAAGTTGGCAACGAAGGAAACCCCTAGTTGAGGAGATTTATTTAAACGAGAAAAGCACATTTTCTGTGTCTTTTTCAGGTCATGAAGGCATAAACCATGAATTCTAATATGCTAATAGCGTAAGATATTCACATGGAAACTACAGAGGAAAGCAACGAGCACAGAATGACTGCAACCAGTCTAGCCTTCGATCACGATAATCATTAATCATACAATAAAAACGCTTTCTCATGGCATCTGGAAAACCATGTTTTGACTGTGATGAGGCCCTAAGTAGGAAGAAGATTCATGATGATGAAGAGCACCTGTGTGCAGATTCTGGTCCTGCATTCTAAACCCAAAGGATGATAAGTCGTCACCAATCCCGTAAATATCGGACAGAAACACTTCATCATATGCAGGATTACTCAGAGCAGCCATTGGTTGGTGGGTCCACTGAAACTGAGTTCTGGAAACTCCAGAATTCTGCTGCTGCGCCTGTGAGTTTGAAAGCATCATGTTCATGGGATTTTGTGGCGGTGAAGAAGAGGACGACTTCTTGGTGGCGTCTCGTGGTGTGATTGAGGTTTCTGTGAGGTTCACTGTGGTTATGTCATGGATGCTTGCTCTTCTCTTGTCTTTCCCTCCCGAGAGTTGCCTTATGAAGTATTTCTGAGCATGGCTAGCAACTTGAGTCGGTGTTCGAGTCAGCACGAAATTCCTTGATATGTTCCTCCAATCTCCCTTCCCATGTTTCTTCAGTCCCAGAAGAAAAAGTCTGTGAAGCATTTCATCATCAAGCTTCAGTGCATAAACCTAAAGCTTACTAACAAAATAGAAAGAATATCTAACCACCTTTTATAACCAAGTAGTCATGTCAAACCAAACACAACACTTCAAAAATTTGAAACAAGTTCGAAAAACATGTCAGAATCATTATTAACAACACAACTGTATCCATCAAGATGAAACTGACACACCAAAATTGAAGAACCCGGGAAGATAACAGGAAGAGAGGAACTTACTTGTGTTCTTCTTCGGTCCAAGGGATTCCTTTCTTCCTTTCATTCTCAGATGGTCTTCCAGAGGAGGATCTCTTTCCATGGAATCCCTGGGAAGGATCGTGCCCAGAAGAAGAGTTGGCCCAACAGTCCAAGGTGAAAGATGAGGAAGGAGTGGTGGCGTAATAGTCAGGAACTGAGACCAGGCCAGCTTCTATGTTACAAACATCGTCTTCAAGCTGTTTGTACTGCTTCATCACGTCACTGACCGTCTTCCCCGGGATCATTGCAGCCACTTTCTGCCACCGATCTGGGGTATCCGTGTCGTAAACCGCGAGGGCATTTTCGAAGAGCTTGTTCTCGGCACGAGTCCATTTGGGATTACGATTATCTTCAAGAATCCAGCTGGTGTTGGAATTGGCGATGTATTGTCCAGGTGAGAATATTCCCGTTTCCCACTTCATCACCTCGAATTTCAAGCACAAACTATAGTGGCATAGAAACAGAAATCCAAAGACAGAGGAGATACAGAGGGGGGGGGGGAGGACACTGAAGCAGAAAGAAATGGCAAGAGGTTGAGTTTTTCTTAATTTTTACTGGAACAATATAAAGGATAAATCGGAAAGCATTTTAAAGGAATCAGAATACTTCTTGTGGGCAAGCAATGCTCCTTAGGAATCTGGAAAAGACGCGCTTTACAAAAATCTACGGAAAAGGTTCCGACTTGAAGTTGAATTGATAATATGATATCGAACTGCTGTTAGCAGATAACCCAAGGACTAACGCTGAGATCTGAAACCGCTGGTCAAGAAAAAAAAACAGTGCGATCTGAGACCAATGAACTGAGACAGGAAGAAGGCGAAGAAGAAAACCAGAAAAGTGAAGCATGGAGGGATTATAATTGGTGTAACAGAAATTTATAATTTGTAGGGGAAAGAAGTGATGATTCTGTGAGCTTTAACCCAGTGATAGTTGAATTGGGTATGCAATTGGGAACTGAGGAAAGGCAAAATGGAGAGGAGCCGAAGGCAGTGAAGATACAAAACCCAATAAGGAAACTAGGAGGCCTGAATTTATGAGAGTGCTCTCGTGGGAGGTGGCAGGGGACATATTTCTTCTCTCTCTCTCTCTTAATTTGTGATGGAAAAAAGTGGAAATTGCGTTTTTAATTCCTCCACTTATTCAGGGCTCAAGGCAAGCGATTGAAAAAAAAAAAAATCTTTTAATTTATTTATAGGACTTAATATACCACATCATGATTCATATAATAAAATTATATCAATTCAATAAATAAAACATTGTTCTTCTAATTCTATTTATAAGGTAGAGAGAGAAAATTTATTTTGATCTATTTATATGACACCTCAATGATTATCATGTCTATCTTTACTCTTTTGCCCTTATTCAATATTAGAGAGGTCATTAAATGTTAGACTATTTTATTTTTAGAGTAGATATATTTAATAGGAATAAAGTTAAAAATTTATTAAATTTTAAGACAGAGTTAATACAGTTTAAAATTTTTCTTCATTTCGATAAAAATATTAAAAGTGACTTATAAATAGGATCAAAGAAAGTATGTGTCATTATGTTTAATAATTTTATTTTTATAATATAATACCTATTTAATTTTCTAACTTTTATCTTTATGTTATCATTAATGTTAGAATTAATCTATATTTAATGTTATGTGATGTGATTTTATTGAATGGGTAATAAATAACTTGGTGCACCAGGTTTACATGTAAATTTCTGCTAAACTTCACTTTTTATTTGCTAGCTAGCGTTGGTCCCAGCAAAAGAAACTAGTGTCATTTAAATATGAGAACTTGGGTTCGAATTTACATGAGTGTGGAACTTTTTTTGAGATAACTACCCCAATTGAACCCAATATTGCTTAAATTTGACTCGATTAGATAGCTATAATTAAAACGTTATTTTTATCTGTTGTTTCAAGTTAGCTTTTTAATATATTTCAAAATTTTATTTTGAATTTATTCTTAACTTTATTTTGTCTTGCAGTTTAAGTTAATTTAGTCTATTAATTTATTTTAAATTCCATTATTTTTATTTTATTTTATTTTATTTTGTCTGACATAAAATTTTGTCATTAAGCACCTAATTTCATAAAATATCCGAAGTTTTAGTGTAATCCCTATCATTGATAATTTAAAATAGTCAATAGCTCTGCAATGGTAGGTTGAAAAAAAAAAATGCATTTTAACCGTGTATAAAATTAAAACCAACGTTCTTGTAGCTTTTCTATTGTGGTGCATGTAATTTTTTTAATCAAAGAGCCCTGTTATGTTGTGCGTCTTAAACCTAGATGACTATTAAATTAAAAAGTAATCCATCTGTTTAAAAATATAAATTATTTTTAAAAAAGTTTAATGTTTTTTTAAGGTGTAATCATTGTCTTTTTTTTTCAAAAGCATTTCTATTAATGAATAACTTTATATTTATTGTAAGATATTTAATAGAGGTGGATATTGAAAGATATGATTAGTTTAACAGTAGGTAACTACTTTATTAAAAACTAAAATTTGATTAAAAATACTTTATATTTTTAAATGAAGGGAGTATTATGTTTTAGTCATTGAACTTAAAAATTATTTAAAAATAAAATAGAATTAAAAAAATAAATCTAAAATTTAAAATATAATTAACCTTATATACTTAGTTTATTTTTGTCATAAATAAAATAAATAAATTTTAAAGTATTCATAACAATAGTTTATCATAAAATAAATTATATATAAAATATTAACATATCTTGATTTAATTTAAAGCAAACACCTTAAATATACAATATAAATTTGAGAATCTTTTTTATAAAGTTAACTTCCTCTAGTTTGAAATGTAAATATTTTTTAAAAAAAATCGAGTACCAATAAAGTACTCATTTTCATAAAAATATATATTATTTTTTCTCTTTACTCTTAATATCAATTATCAATATATTTTATGATGAGCGAGAGATAAATTTATACAAGAATCTTGGTTAATAAATACAAGATATAAAACAAATAAAAAATTTACATTTATTAGATTACTTGTATTTCGAACCAATATTAGTTGGGAGAAATGCTTATATGTTTTGCACCAAAATTAGTGGGAGGAATGCTTATTTTTTGAATGGGAGGAAATAGATTTGTTTTTCTTATAACAAGTATATTTGAAAAAAATAAAGTAAAATTGAGAAATTAAATTATAATTAAGTATAAATGAGGAATAAAAGTAAAGTTCGACTACAATTTAGTTTTCAATGCATCTGAATTACAGTTTGGACACACCAGCTGAGTTGAGAGTGAACAGATACAAAAAGGTCGGAAAGAAGGTGAGCTGTGATTGGAGCATATGGGCTTATGGATGCTGCAACACGGAAAAGGCTCCCCCCCATTCTAATACGCACTTTCTATTTTGGGGCATTTTTATTTAAAAAATTATTGCAAATGACATAGTATTGCGATGCCAGTTCCGTGTTGTTATTTAACACTTTTTCTGATAAAATATTTTTTAAAGAGTTAAATATTTAAAATTATAAAATATTTTTAATTTTTTAAAGTATAATTATTAATTTGTTTAAAAGTGTCTTTATTAATAATAATTTTATATTTATTATAGAGTGTTTAATAAGAATAAATACAAAAAGATGATGTGAATTTGAAAGTAAGTAATTACTTTATGGAGGGATGAAATTTAGTTAAAAATGTCTTATATTTTTCAATGGAGGGAGTATTTGTTTTTTTTTTATTAAACTCACCAACAACCAAAGGGCATTGGATTGAGGAAAAGAAATTAATTTCTTATAATATGATGAACCAATGATTGAATCTTTATTGAGAGAGATATACATATTTAATACTGACTTTGTTAAAAAATATAAGGCTTTTATAATCAAATTTTATCTCAATAAAATAGTTAATTATTTTTAAATTAACTTTATATTTTCATATTTAACCTCTATTTAATAGGGTGTTTTGTCATAAAATAAATATAAAATAATTTATTCAATATAGACAGTTTAAAAAAAATCAATAATTACTTCTTAAAAAAATGTTTTATATTTTTAATTAACTAACCCCTTAAAAAATATTTTATATTTTTTAATAAAAAAAAAATATAACCATCCTTCAAGTAGAATTATCTTCAATATGAGAACACATCTGAGCAATCATATAAAAAAGCCACCAACAAACATACGCATTGGAAGCTCATCATTCTGAAGGGATCCTCACTTGTGTTGCAATGGTCAGTGAAAGCTTAACAAGAAACAATCATTGTTCTTGATTTCATGTTAATTGTTTCACACATTTTTTTAGGAGATATTTTCACGATTTATCACTTAATAAATGATAATTGCCTTCAACATGTAAGATTGAGAGTCAATTATTGAATAATGTCTCCCTTTCAAGCTTTCTACCATCTGAATAGGATTTGAATTCGATTGCTTTAGTATCAGCACAATACAGGGGGTCAATGACACTCGAGTAATTCCAAATTCTTGGCATTTCACTGTGCAATGAGATTATATTATTCCTGCCAATCTTAATTATATTATAAAATTAACTAATTTGTAAACGATAGAGTAATTAATATATTTAAACTTGTAATGAGATGCTTGGCTTTCTGATCTCGACCTTTACTAAAATTAATTAACACGATAAAATTTGTGTAGCAATTACATCTTAGTACAATTTAAAAAGGATAATATTGAAAAATTAATTATTGCATCTTTATCTTATATTTATAATTAAATAGAGTTTTAAAACTTTGTCATTAGAATCGTAAGGAACAATTCCTAAGATTGTAACCATTTTTTGCTGCGCGGGCACAAATGTCAAAATGATTTTGTTTAGACTACAAAGATGGCTGGTGGCAACAATTAACTTAGTTACACAGGAGAGTAAATTTGAAACCAAATGATATTCTCTGGTATTGATCAATAAATAAATAAAATAAAACATGTATTTGAAACCAAACGTGTATTTAAAGATTATAACATTGTTGACTGGTGATCCAGATAACAGCATTATAAGAGAAAAGGAGCAGTATACGCTCAACTTCTCAAGAAGGTTTGAACATTTTTTTTCCTTTCTCCCTTTCTTTTTTATTAAATTCAGATATTGGCTCACTGTTCCCAAGGAAAAAAAAACAAGAAGAAGAACCTCACCTAAGAAGAGGAACCTTGCCCATTTCATACTCTTTAATATTTTATACTTGTTTTAGAGGCAATAATTTAAGCAAGTCAAACGTGCTAGTTCAAATAAACTCAAAAAATTTCAAAGTCAGACTTAAGAATTTAGAATTTTTTTTAACCAGACTTATGCAGACTATTTGAATAAACTCAAAAATATTCAAGTGAAGTTCGAACACAAACGAACTTAATTGAGATATCTGAATTCTTTATTTATTAGTAATAAAATAATATTAAAATAAGATAAAAATTAAAAATATTACTTTTTAAAAAATTAAAATTAGTTAAAAAGAATAAAATTGAAATAATATTTAACATCTTGAGTATTCGGTCAAATATAAAAGCTTGAGATGTTAGAATTGGACCGAGTTATTTGAGTTTTTTATATATTGGTGTATTCTGAATTTAATCCAAATAAGATTGATTTAAATTGAGCCTAAATTAAATAAATATTATTTGTTTAAATTACTGATTTTAATTGTTCTTAACGTAAGCGTGAGGGATTTGAATTTGAAGGTTTCATGGAACCAAAATTCTAGAGAAAAAAATGAGAGGCAAACTATATTACTGGCGGCCTAGCCTACATCTTTTCTGCTGACCTTGAGGTAGGGGTGTTTATAGGTTCGGTTTGGTTTGGTTTTGGGCAAAAACCAAACCGAACCGAACCATTCGGTTTACTGATAATTGAGACCTGATCGGTTTTTATGAAGTTCGGTTTGGTTCGGTTTTATTTTCGGTTTGGTTCGGTTTGGTTAAGGTCTTGATCAAGTTTTAATGCACTTATTTAATTTTTTTCTGTTTCTCCATCTTCATAATAGTGCTGTGTACTAAAATTAAATTTAATTCTTTTTGACTCCTTTTTTTTATAAATAGAGGTATAAAAATATAATAAAATTTCAATGTGATAA